CACGATCGTCAGTGGCGGAGCCACGTTATGTGGTGTGGGGTCAATGAACCCCACTTGAAAATGGGTGCCCGTTAAAAATGAATGAAAATACAGATGAGGCATGCAAGAATTGAACCTTGAACCCATGAATACGAGACACCAGCTGCACCATTACAATATATCTTGAGTTATGTTTAATGAGTTCTGTGGGTTTTAATTTTCATATAATTCTTGGAACCCACTGAAATATTTCTCTGGCTACGCCAATGACGATCGTGTGAGCGCAAACGGCTCGTTGTTTCGATTACAAACGAAGAAGTTGTGGCTAAATTAGTGTCGACACGTACGTTATTTCAATAACGAAGTGTAGGCTTCAAATTGACATATCTCACTCGTTTGAAATCCAAACTTAGTTTCTTAAAATTCTACGTGATCGTGGTAGAATTTTCTAACTTGTGGAATCAAGATTTGTTCGAAATCTATGATCCATCATTCCAGAATATTCGTCATTTTCATAAACCATTCGGTGGGGTCGCAATTTATTCGAGTATGGTTGAAATTCTTGATTCTTCAACAATTCGAATTGATTTATAAATTTTCCGAGGTTTGGGATGTTACAACTCTCCCCCTCTTAATTGGATTTCGTCCCCGAAATCAAAGTGTTGGTTAATCTGGCGCTCACATCCTTCGAACCCACTCCATCGTGAATAACGTTTAATTAGAGCACCGAGGATGGTCAATCCTCTTATTTTCTCATGTCTCTTCTCACTTGGTTGTGGTGATCTGAGAAGTGGTACCATTGAATAACGTCAACCTATTGCCATAAGCATTAGGTTGTATCTTGAGGGGTACACTTTTGTTAGTTCAGAGTGCTCCCTCACTTATGCTTTGTTGGTCCCTTTGTGCGTGTTCCAATTTTTCTAGCCTTTATCCACAACCTTAGGCATTAAGGTTCTTTAGCTTCCAAAACAAAACTAGGCATTGCCTTTTCTCATGTCATCCATGATCTCCTCCTCAACTATTCGTCATAAAATGGTGTCACTAAACGATTTATCATCTTGCTTGTCTCTTTTCACAATTGCTTACATGATTGTTCACGATAGAACCTTGTCTCCTCCAGATGAGACATCAAGTCTCAGTACTCCGAACTTTCCTTCTCGTTTTATAGGAACACTCATTCTCCATGATTCGTGGTTTATGGATATATCTAGAGCTTCTTCGCTTTTGCTCATGATACCTTTCCCCTTTTAAGTGACAATTACCATTTGATAACTTATAGCACCAATTTGTTACTTTAGAGTTTAATCTCTATAGTCATTTCAACTATGGCTACGTGGCGTCTCCTTCATGCTTGAGGCTACTAGTACCGACCATAGGCTGATCATGTCACAACTTAGTTCTGAAGCTCCTGCATTTGCTCTGGCTCCCAGCTTGTCCATTATTCGCCCATCACATCTACTCTCTATTGGTGTCTCTGACTCCTAAGGTGTTGACATGAACTTTTGGTCATCTATTTCCTTTCACATTATTTTGATGATGTATCTCGTTGTCGATCGACCGTCATCATTTTCACCGCATGCTAGTTAATGTCTCCTCATCTTGACTTATTCTCGTACTTAATAGTCTACTGAGCGATCTTGTCCATGAATCCTCGAGGAATTTATTTTTTCTCCATCCACGTTATCAATCGTCACATATTTAGTCTAACGTATCAAAAAGTTATCATTAGATTGGGTCTCTCCAACCTCAACTAATATGATGAAACTTGGGATTCTAAACCCCAATATGAAATCCACAATCCTTCAAGGTTTGCAGAATTCCTACTAACTCTTTCAACTCTTGTTTTCCTTGAATCAGGAAACTCCATCCCTTAAATTGGATGTGGCACATTTTGCACAGATCGATGATTCCTTGGAGGAGGAAATCACTTTTCAATTTTTGTCTCAAATGACTCATCAAAAAGACTTTCTTCAAAAGACTTCTAAAATCGATTTCATTTCAAATGTTTCTCTAAAAGTGCTCAAAATCATTTTGACTGAGTGCAACTGACTCTGACTATGCATCACATCATCATGTTTGGTCTCAACTCCTAGAAAGTTTAGTGCAAATACGGGTATGGAGTACTCCCTCCCTTTTGAGAGTGATCAGTTCTCGAGAGTGAAAGTAACATACATATAATGCAGAAAACAAACCGGGCTCTGATACCACTTGTAACACCCCACCCTAAAATCATGGGGTCGAACCGATGGTCCAACCACGCAGCGGAAATCACTCAGGGTTTACGTTTTGAAAATCTCGACTCAACTCATATGACGAAATTGTGATATATGTTTAAAACTCAACTCCTCATAACAATTTACTAAAAATCGCTTTCTCAATTCATTAATCAATCTTCCTCAAAACCCGGATTCAAAGAACTCAGACTATCAATCTCATCTACTCCATTCATACTCAACTCAAGTTAATGATCATACTTGACCAATGTAAACTATCATGCACGCTCAAAACTTTAACCATAAAATAAGAATTCTAGAATACATCAATAGGTGAAAAACCTTTTAAATCAAAATCCTCCATCGATCATTGTGCAGTGCCAAAGTCATCCTCAATTTATCACACCTGTCACATCTAGAAAGAAAAATGGGTAAGCTACTAAGCTGAGTGCGTGGACCTGGCCTACACGGAAAAAGTATTGTTAGCATGCCAACACATCATCACATCTTGTTAATTAAAAACACATCATCAACAAATTATAATGCCACACGAAAATCTCATTAATCCCTAGATTTATTTCTAGGTCATCAATCCAAATTCATCTTTAACCCATTTTCTCATGGTATGACTTTCATTAATCAAGTCATATATCGACATAAAATCGTAAGCTTACCTCAACTCATGAATCCATCATATCAATCCTTCATTCAAAGTCAACTCATCATTTGAACATCAAACATATCAATCATTCATCCATAATCAAATCACCGATTTGGCATTAACCATATCAATCATTCGTCCATAATCAAATCACCAATTTGGCATTAACCATATCAATCTTTCAATCAATCATCAATTGAATATGACTTCACGATTTCCTTTATGGAAATCATCTCCATCACATATATCATATGCAATGCATGAGATGTAGACTCTCCAAATTACGTAACTTGATTAATATTCATTGCGTAAAAGGACCATCCATCACGTAAGGCTTCCGTAATGACACTTTACAACTGTTACGTAAAGTATGCACCTATTACGTAAAGGTTACATAACGATAGTTATTTCTTACGTAGCAGTTAAATTAGAAGCGTTACGTAAGTCTTCCGTAATCATTTAACAGATTATGTAACGAAAGGTTAATATTCATTACATAAAATGAGTGTCTATTACGTAAGGTTTCCGTAATGACATTTTTCAACTATTACGTAAGATAAACACACATTACGCAACCATTACGTAATGCCTATTGTATTTTACGTAATGCAACTTGTGAAACTTGTTATATTTTACGTAATGTTTCCGTAATGACATTTTTCAACTATTACGTAAGATAAACACACATTATTAATCATTACGTAATGCCTATTTTATTTTACGTAATGCCTATTGTATTTTACATAATGACACTTTACAACTGCTACGTAAAGTATGCATCTATTACGTAAAGGTTACGTAACGATAGTTATTTCTTACGTAGCAGTTAAATTAGAAACGTTACGTAAGTCTTCCATAATCATTTAACAGATTACGTAACGAAAGGTTAATATTCATTACATAAAATAAGTGTCTATTACGTAAGGTTTCCGTAATGACATTTTTCAACTATTACGTAAGATAAACACACATTACGTAACCATTACGTAGTGCCTATTGTATTTTACGTAATGCAACTTGTGAAACCTGTTATAGCAGGTCAACAACATCAAGTTACAATAACTTCAAGGTATTGTAGGAACTTCCAAAAATACAATATTGATTTATAATTGTTTCTCTTTGTTCCTACGGCGGCGATTTGATATAAGCATCACGCATAACTTTCTTATTTGAAATTTTCTATGATACCCCCTTCACTCCTCGGCACACAAGCTGGTGGGCTCAAATTGTGAACACCAAGTTTGGAGAGAAGGGTGTTGAGTGTTGATCAAGGAGGTAGAAGCTTGGTGAAGAAATATGAGATCTGATGAACAGTTGAACACATGGGGGATTTTTTTTATGATGTTGGACTGAAGCTTCTCGCGAACAAAGTGGCATATAAGTTCAATATGCTTTGAACGCTCATAAAAGGTAGGATTCTCTGCAATTTAGATTGCTGTTTGATTTTCACACTATACATTGTCGTAGGCTATGGGTGTGGTATCCGAAAGTCCTCATTGAACTTCACAAGTTGTGTAGGCAAGGACTCGGTATTCTACTTCACACGAGGAACGAGAGATTGTGACCTACTTTTTTACCTTTTTCAAGACATGAGAGAATCACCTAGATAGACACGATACCTAGCGATTGATCGTCGAGTGTGGATACATCTAAATTTGTTTTTACGTTTGTATAATTGATATTGTTTGTAAATTATATATATATATATATATGTGTGTGTGTGGTGGCGTATTCGGTGCACCCACTTTTTTGGGTGCACGCCTCATAATTGTCATTCTGACTATGCGATTCATGTCAAAACGATATCCATTGTTGCTTATTATATTATGAACAAGAAGCACATGAATTTGAAAAAAAAATCATTCAAAATTTACTTTAATTCGAAGGATTTAGGGATTTAGGGTTAGGATTTCGGTTTACAATTTGGGATTTTGGGTTGGGATTCAAAATTGAAGGTTAAGGGGTTAGGGTCATGGATTGATTTGTTATGATTCTATGTCATATCATCATATTAGATTGAAAGTACTAATTAACGTTCAAAATTTTATGTATTATAGATGTTTTTAGAGTTGGGTGCACTGAATGCACAAAAAAAGTTAGTGCGCCGAAATAGCCACCATATATATATACTATTTTATTATCGATTTGTATAAACAAGCCGGGTTTGTATAAACAAGGTAAAAATGGATTAGATGAATCAACAAATATTGGGCCCAGTCGGAAGAAAGCCCAATTGAACTGTTCCCACGGGTCGCACCGTTCCGTGTTTCCTTTTCTTGCCCTAACCGTCTCGTTGACGAACGCAGAAACAAAATTGTCTGTAAGAACCGAGTCGAAGAATTACTCCGCTTGAAAGTTGGAAGCAGAGAGCAGAAACGCGAATCCAAGGTACCTCGCCTTCCCTTCCCTTTCATTTCTTCTTCTCCCTTCTTGCTTTTTCAGATGGTAGCTTTACACAACCGATTATGCCCTGAATCCCAGTTTCTGAAGTCACTCCGTGTTCTCTATCTGTCGGCGCTTCTTTGTTCTGCTATTTTACTATGTAGTTCTTCTTTGTGCGTTCTGGTGATGAAAAGTTGGGTTTTTTATCCTGCAGCTCTCGGTTATATACGGAAGCTTTCAGGGTTCTGAATTACCGGCTGCTGTTTGCTATTCGTCATGGCGACCAGTAAGTTTTCTGATCAATGATATACTGCGATGGTTGGGTTGGGTACATACTGCGAAAACAAATTCTTTTATGTATGGGTTAAGGAGTTGCGTTCTCTATTTCCAGGGCTTCAATTCGAGAACAACTGTGAAGTTGGTGTTTTCTCCAAGCTGACAAATGCATACTGTTTGGTTGCGATTGGAGGATCTGAAAGCTTCTACAGGTACCCTTTCTTCCGGCCGACGAGAAAGTTTGGAACTTTTATGCAATAATTATAAGATGGTTATTGAATACAAGTTTTTTTTTTTGTGTGTGTTAATGGCTGCATTGGTTGTGTACGTTGCAGTATCTTTGAGACAGAGTTGGCAGATGTCATTCCTGTGGTTAAGACCTCGATTGGAGGCACTAGAATAATCGGGAGGCTATGTGCTGGTAAGATCAGTGTTTATCCGTTGTTTCTTATTGCTGTCATCTTTCGCGGTGATTTCTGCTTACTGCTCTAGGCTTGCTTTGGCAGGGAACAAAAATGGACTTCTTCTGCCACACAACACCACTGATCAGGGTGAGTTTGATGAGTTTATTCAACATGTCTGGTTGTGAGCATGTAGTTTGATTGACGGCCTCTAATCGTTTGTGCTCGCTTCGCATTGTAGAACTTCAGCACTTGAGGAACAGTCTACCTGATTCAGTTGTTGTCCAGAGGATAGAGGAGAGATTGTCAGCTCTTGGAAATGTCATTGCTTGTAATGACCATGTTGCTCTTGCACATACTGATCTTGACAGGGTAAGTATTGGCTGGCATTAAGCAAACTGTTCTTAGTAGCAAAATAGTCCCAACGTGTCTGTTATCATCGCCCAAGTATCTTAGGTGGCTAAAATTTTGTTCGACCTTTCATATTATCCAAGTAGGCAAGGGCTCCTTATGCTTCAGCTGTTTGACCTGTCATTTCAAAGCCCGTTGCCGGAAATATCTCAGTTCTTAGCTGCGACTTCAGGGCTAATTTATCCCTTTATGATTAGGAAACTGAAGAACTGATAGCTGATGTTCTCGGAGTAGAAGTATTCCGACAGACTATCGCTGGTAACATTCTTGTGGGAAGCTACTGTGCTCTCTCAAACAGAGGCGGCTTGGTAAGGGCACACTGACATTTTCCTTCCCTGTCTTGATCTAAGTGTTTACACAATATATGTCTAATGATCTCATTTCCACCAAAACTACAGGTGCACCCCCACACTTCCATTGAAGACCTGGACGAACTTTCCACCCTTCTCCAGATCCCCTTGGTTGCCGGTACAGTTAACCGTGGCAGTGAAGTCATAGCTGCGGGAATGACGGTTAATGACTGGACAGCTTTCTGTGGGTCAGACACAACAGCAACTGAACTGTCTGTCATCGAGAGCGTCTTCAAGCTAAGGGAAGCCCAACCTAGTGCCATTGTGGATGAGATGAGGAAGTCTTTGATTGATAGTTATGTTTGAGAGCTGTTGTAGTGTCAAGTGTGGCACATCTTTATCTTCCTGCATTCTCATATGTTTTCCCTTGTATCTCAATTGTAGTTTTGAAACTTGGTCCAGTTTGAATGTTTTCTGCATTGTTCCTGTTATCTGCTTACCCATGCAGAGTGGTATCAGACGTTTCGTGGCCTCCTTGTCAACTGTCGAAGAGGCTATAAAAATTCTGTTGTATACATATGGTACTGTTATCCCTCCATGAAAATCATATTCCCAGCTCTCAAATTCCATTACATTGCTTTATGGAAGACAACTGAAAGTCTCTGCCTGGCCAATATAACCCTGCAATCCTGAGGTCTGACACTCTCGAGAACCCCTGAAACTTTTCTTTGTTGCTTGATCAGTTCTCTTTATGGGCTCAAACAATCTAAAGGCAGGTTTTTTCCCCATTCCCTGTGCAGGCTATGGTGGCTTCCTTGCTTTGTTTCGATGAGATGATTGATGATGATAACTTTGTCGATTGGCAGTGATCCAGAAGGAAAGAAAAAGGAAAAAAGAAGCCAAGCCAAGCAGAGCATCACTAAGTCCACTCGGCGGGCACCGCTTTGGAAAATAAGTAACCATCATCGATCAGTCCGCTCTTGAAACTCTGCAACAACAGCCAGCAGTTAACCTGACCCAGAAGAAATGCTTGGCTGTATTGTATTGTATTGTATTCAAAAGCTGAGCTATCAAAACTCCCTCAAACCTAATACCAACGACATCATCTCTAACAGAGTAATTTTCTCCTTGTCGTTTCTCTGTATTTCGCTATCATGGACGTTACATTTCTTTAGCAGACTCCAAATCTCCAACTGAGTTATACGTTTCATTCATCTTCCCCAGACGCCATTCCTTCTCCGCAATTCCCACTAATCGCCAATGCCTTCCCAGACAACAACGCCGCCGCAGATTCGCCTGAGTTCGGCCACCTGGCCGCCCTTCTTCCTGTTCTTCCTGTCCCCTGTTTTAGTAGCCACTCTGCTGGTCTACCACCTCGACTCGTTCGACCCGGTCCACCTCCCGCTCCACGAGTTGGCTCAGCCTCCACTCAAAGCTCCATTAACCAACCACGCCATCCTGAAAAGCTCCGAGTTCGTGGGACAGGGCCAGCTCAACGGACCTGAGGACATCCTCTACGACGCCGTCTCCGGCGTCTTCTACACCAGCTGCGTTGACGGCTGGATCAAGCGAGTCACGGTGAACGAGTCGGTTGATGATATGGTGGTGTCGAGCTGGGTCAACACCGGCGGCCGGCCGCTCGGACTCGCTTTCGACCGGACCAACGATGCGTTGGTTGTAGCTGACGCTTACAAGGTATTGACCCAGAAAAATAAATGAAAAGTTATGGTACTTGTTTTTACAATAACAATTAACAAAGTTCTGGTACTAGCTAGATAACTAAAACAACATAACAAAGTGTTAGTACTAGCTAGATTACTAAAACAACAAAATTACTGGGCTTTGTATGACTATATGCTCGAATCCGTCTATCGCGAAGAATTTACTCTATGATGTATCGCAAAGTATTACGTCCGAACAACCATGATTCAGTGGTAAGCGTATAAGGTTGGTACGGTATGCTTCTGATTTCGGTCTGTACAACTTTTTTATTAGAAGTGCTTAGTGATTGCAGAGAGAACAGTTTTCATAAGAACTTAATAGCCTCCAAACCTTTATGAGCCAGGGGTTGCTAAGAGTGAGCAGAGGTGGAGGAATAGAAGTGCTGACTGTGGAGGCAGAAGGGGTGAAATTCAAGCTGACGGATGAGGTAGCCATAGGAGAAGACGGGGCAATGTATTTCACGGATGCTTCTTATGACTACAATGTGGCAGAATCCATTTTCGACATTTTGGAAGGGAAGCCGCGTGGCAGGTTGCTGCGATACGATCCTGCCACTAAACAGACTGAAGTTCTGCTCCATGATCTCTACTTTGCTAATGGAGTCGCGATTTCCCCGGATCAACAGTCCCTCGTCTTCTGCGAAACACCCATGTAATCAGAATCCCTTGCAGTTGCAGTCTTTGTTTGATTCCCTGGTTTCTGCAACTCTTTAACACTCCTCTTCTGGTTGTCTGTCATGTTCTGTGGTGCAAAATGGCAGGAAAAGGTGTAGGAAATACTACATAGAGGGGGAGAAGAAAGGGAAGGTGGAGAAGTTTGCTGATAATCTGCCTGGAGTCCCAGATAACATCCACTATGATGGTGAAGGCCACTATTGGATTGCGTTTCCCGCGGTAAATAGGACTGTTAGACTTTGAGATTCTTGTCTGTTGATTACTATCTGGTTGTGATGGATTCTGAGTTTTTGGTGATGAACTGATGACAGGGAATCAATGCCATGTGGGGTTTTGCGTACAAACATCCCATCCTCCGGAAGGCTATGGCGATCCTGACAAAGCACCTAGGGCCACTGCCATTGGAGAAGGACAGCGGGGTTTTCGTGGTGGATTTGGAGGGGAAACCTGTTGCGCATTACAGCGATCCTCAACTCGCGATGGTCACCAGTGGCGTGAAGATTGGAACTCACTTGTATTGCGGCTCCCTTGTAGAGAACCGCATCCTTCGCCTTGATCTGGCTAAGCATCCAGCACAGCAGACTGCATGAAACGTGAAAGCCAAACGAACGAACGAGAAACATAAACCTCGCACTTAGTTGCTGCTGCTGCTACAACTGTTGCACTTGTAATGATGGTACACATAATGTTGTTGTATTGTTTTACATGAAATGGGCTAGATTTAACTTCCAAGTAAGATCAACATGGCTCGAATTCGTCAGCGAGAACCCGATACTTGCAGCAGACTTGACAGACAAGGCATACAAGATACAACTCGTGATATAACAAACATCCAGACTCAGATTTTATTGCTCCAAATTGCAGACCCACCAGCCACAAAGGCAGAACGCAGAAACAAATAGAAGAAGGTTTCTTATCTCATTATCACAAAGCAACACGAAATCTGTTTGCAACAAATTCTGGCCTAAATGTGTTTAGAGCAATCCTCCAGAGACTGTAGCCTTCAGTGCAGATCCTTTCACCAGAACTCCATTCCATTCAAGGTGCATGCAAAAACTTGGGATGATAGATCCTTTGAACCTTTTGATCCGCGGTCAAATATGTAAACATCAAATGAATTTTTAAGCATATATAAAACATACTCCGTAGACAATTTACTTCCGTTCCGTTCACGCCACCCAACAGCCACCGGGAAATCTTCAATTAAAAAAACACAGTTTCAGCCCAGGGATTCCCCTGCCACACCACCCAGCAGTAGACCCAGAAGAAATGCTTGACTTGGCTTTGCCTGTATTTTATTCAAAAAGCTGAGCTATCAAAACTCCTGCAAACCTAATACCTAAGACAATCATCTCCAACACAGTAATTTCTTACTGTCGTTCCTCTGCATTTCGCTGTCATGGATTTTCACCATTCTTTAGCAGAGCACCGAAATCCGATCGCTCCTCTTGCTGTTATAAATACCCGTTTCGTTCATTCCCTTCTCCGACATTCCCGCTAACTCGCCACCGAGATGCCTTCCCAGACAATGTTCTTCTTCCTGTTCTTCGTATCCCCTGTTTTAGTGGCCACTCTGTTGGTCTACCACCTGGACTCGTTCGACCCGGTCCACCTCCCGGTCCACGAGTTGACCCAGCCTCCCCTCAAAGCTCCATTAACCAACCACGCCATCATCAAAAGCTCCGAGCTAGTGGGTCAGGGTCAGCTCAGCGGACCCGAGGATATCATCTACGACGCTGCTTCCGGCGTCTTCTACACCAGCTGCGCTGACGGGTGGATCATGCGAGTCACGGTGGACGAGTCGGTTGCCGATATGGTGGTTTCGAGCTGGGTTAACACCGGCGGCAGGCCGCTCGGACTCGCCCTCGACCGGACCAACGACGCGCTGATTGTAGCTGACGCTTACAAGGTAAGGTTTTTGGTCGGCGCCCATTTTGCTCTTGGATAACGAAAACAGAGCAAAACCCAAAAAGGCCGTACAGTAAATTGCTGGACCGGATTTTTCTCCGGCAGTCGGGTTGCATATACTTTTTTTTATGGAATTTGCCTTGTGACTTTTGTTGTCCAGTCATATCGTGGAACTGTGGAAGCTAATTTTGAATAAGAACTTTAATAGCCTCCATACGATTGTGAGCAGGGTTTGCTGAGAGTGAGCAGAGATGGAGGAATAGAAGTGCTGACGGTGGAGGCAGAAGGGGTGAAATTCAAGCTCACGGACGAGGTAGCCATAGCAGAAGACGGGGCAATGTATTTCACTGATGCTTCTTATGTATACAGTATGGCAGAAGCCATCTTTGACATTTTGGAAGGGAAGCAGCATGGCAGGTTGCTGCGATACGATCCTGTCACTAAACAGACGGAAGTTCTGCTCCATGATCTCTACTTTGCTAATGGAGTCGCGGTTTCCCCGGATCAACAGTCCCTCGTCTTCTGCGAAACACCCATGTAATGAAAATCCCTTGCAGTTGCAGTCTTTGTTTGATTCCCTGGTTTCTGCAACTCTTTTGGTTCTCTGTCTTGCACTATGGTGCAAAATGGCAGGAAAAGGTGTAGGAAATACTACATAGATGGGGAGAAGAAGGGGAAGGTGGAGAAATTTGCTGATAATCTGCCTGGAGTCCCAGATAACATCCACTATGATGGTGAAGGCCACTATTGGATTGCGTTACCCGGGGTAAATAGCACTGCTAGTGCTAGATTTGAGATTCTTGTCTGTTGATTGCTGTCTGGTTATGATGGATTGAAGTTTATGGTGCTGACCTGATGACAATTGACAGGGAATTAATGCGATGTGGGATTTTGCATTCAAGCAACCCGTCCTCCGGAAGGCTATGGCGATCCTTGCAAAGCACCTAGGGCCACTGCAAATGGAGAAGAACAGCGGGGTTTTCGTTGTCGATTTGGAGGGAAAACCTGTTGCACATTACAGTGATCCTCAACTCGCCCTGCTCACCAGTGGAGTCAAGATTGGAACTCACTTGTATTGCGGCTCCGTTGCGTTTAACCACATCCTTCGCCTTGATCTGGCCAAGCATCCAGCACAGCAGACCGGATGAAACGTGATAGCAAACGAACGAAACGAGAAGCATAACCTCGCACTTAGTTGCTGCTGCTGTTGCACTTGTTATGATGGTAAAAAGAACGTTGATGTATGGTTTACACGAATGGGATAGATTTATCTTCCAAATAACATCACCATGGCAAAATTTGTCGGCGAGAACCTGCTGTTCACAGTAAGCTTGATAGACAAGGCATACAACTCATAATATAACAAACATCCAGACCTAGATTTATTGCTCCAAGTTACAGACCGACCAGCCACAAAGGCAGAACCCAGAAACAAAGTTCTCAGCTTTTCCCCAACCCACGATTGTCCCAATCCAGCACTTCAAACGTCACTTCTACCAGCAAAATTATTGAACCGAGTCGGGAAAAGAAACTAGCTACTGACACACTAGATGTTACAGGTCGTTGATGAACTTCATGCAACCAGAAGGGACCAGCGATCCTCAACTCGCGATGGTCACCAGTGGTGTGAAGATTGGAACTCACTTGTATTGCGGCTCCCTTGTAGAGAACCGCATCCTTCGCCTTGATCTGGCTAAGCATCCAGCACAGCCAACCGCATGAGACATGAAAGAAAAACAAACGAACGAGAAACATAAACCTCGCAGTTGCAGCTGCTACAACTGTTGCACTTGTAATGATGGTACACATAACGTTGATGTATTGTTTACATGAATGGGCTAGATTTAACTTCCAAATAAGATCACCATGGATCGAATTCGTCAGCAGAGAACCCGATACTTGCAGCAAGCTTAACAGACAAGGCATACAACTCGTGATATAACAAACATCCAGACTCGGATTTTATTGCTCCAAGTTACATAGGCTGAAACAAATAGAAGAAGGTTCTCATCTCAATTCTCAAATCTGTTTGCAACAAATTCTGGCCTGAATGTTTAAGAGCAATCCTCCAGTCCAGAGACTGTTGCCTTAACTACAAACTGACAAAATCGGGAGCAGATCCTTTCACCAGATTTAGGCGTCTCATCCGTTACAGAAGAGACTGGAGGTTAACTTGCATTCCAGAACTTCATTCTGCAGCACAGACTTGGAGGTTAACCTGCATAGACTGACTGAAATGACCATCCCATAGCTCCATTCAAGGTGCATACAGAAACATGGGATGATAAATCCTTAAAACCTTTTGATCCGCGGTCAAATATGTAAACATCAAATGAATTTTTAAGCATATACAAAACATATTCAGTAGACAATTTACTTCCGTTCATTGATTTAAGACACCACTCAGCAGCCGCCTGAAAATTTTCAATTAAAAAACAGAGAGCTTTTCAGCCGCCGGACCCAGGGATTGGGATTTTGCTAAGAGAAAGAACAATATTCCCCTGCCACACCACCCAGCAGAAGAAATGCTTGACTTGGCTTTGCCTGTATTTTATTCAAAAAGCTGAGCTATCAAAACTCCTGCGAACCTAATACCTAAGACAATCATCTCCAACACAGTAATTTCTTACTGTCGTTCCTCTGCATTTCGCTGTCATGGGTTTTCACCATTCTTTAGCAGAGCACCGAAATCCGATCGCTCCTCTTGCAGTTATAAATACCCGATTCATTCATCTTCTGCATCATCCCTTCTCCGACATTCCCGCTAATTCGCCACAGAGATGCCTTCACAGACAATGCCCTTCTTCCTGTTCTTCGTATCCCCTGTTTTAGTGGCCACTCTGCTGGTCTACCACCTGGACTCGTTCGACCCGGTCCACCTCCCGCTCCACGAGTTGACCCAGCCTCCACTCAAAGCTCCCTTAACCAACAATGCCATCCTCAGAAGCTCCGAGCTGGTGGGCCAGGGTCAGCTCGACGCACCAGAGGACATCCTCTACGACGGCGTCGCGGGCGTCTTCTACACCAGCTGCGTTGACGGGTGGATCAAGCGAGTCACGGTGAACGAGTCGGTTGCCGATATGGTGGTGACGAGCTGGGTCAACACCGGCGGTCGGCCGCTCGGGCTCGCATTCGACCGGACCAACGATGGGTTGGTTGTAGCTGACGCTTCCAAGGTTAGGTTTTAGCCGGCCGGGATGGGTCGGGTTGGGTCGGGTTTTGCCAAACCCAAACTCAAACCCGTGAATTTATTCGTGAAAAAAATCCGGGATAACACCCACTAGGTTTGGTAAACTCAAACCCAACCCGTTGGATATCTGCGGGTTCATGGGTACTCATGGTTTTTCTCGTAAAAAATTTATAATAACAAGTTCCTATCAAAATAAAAGTCAAATATCAATCTCTCCATACAAATTATTCATATATAAAACACAAATCTAGAAAATTCAAGCAAATCACAAATTAACCATACAAATTGTTCAACACCGATCTAGATTACTCAAGTAAATTGAAGCAAATCACAAAGGATCCATAAACAACATGATTAATTGAAAGCTTCTTCCTCCTTGTCAATTAAGCTTCTTCACTCTTCACTCGATAATTTCAATTTCACTCTCACAATAAGAAAGAAAAAATTAGACATGTTCTCCACAAACATAAAGAAGATTAGCCGCTTATAATATTAAATATACAAGAAAAATTAATTATATGAGTGTTGGCGGATACTCATGGGGCGGGTATACATTAACTCAAACCAAACCCAACGAATAGTGAACGAGTTTAAACCAAAACCCGACCCAAAACCCGTCAACACGGTTTTACCCGCATTGATCGGATTTGGTCGGGTAGGGTACCAATCGGTTCGGGTTTTTGTTGATATCCCTACTTATTCTCTTGCATTGAGTGCACTAGTTTTAGGAAGGGTTGTGTGAGAACTATCGGTCCAATAGTGAAACCAACATTATATTCGATTTAGTTTGGTTCGATGTCCAAATATTAGTTCGATTCATTTTCATCAATATTTATAAAATTCATGGAACCAAAAATGTATGTTTGATCTAATCAGTTGCACACCTCTGTTACTGAGTTATGGACCCAACAATGAAAGGTTCAGATACTTTTTTTTTCTTACAAGAGCAAAAGTTTTGGTACTAGCTTGATGGATTTGGATGTGTTGTGGATTTTGTGCTAATTTCATTTTCTGATTTTAATTTCGGCTCGGACAATTTTTTTTTTAAGTGGTTCGTGATTGCTGAGAGAAAAATGTTCAAAAGAACTTAACAGCATCCAAATGTTTACGAGCACATGCAATGCAGTTAGAATCACGTTTTCAAACTTAAAAGCTTACGTTTTTATATAATTTGGTTATCAAAACGCTTCTGAGTAGAAAATCACATTTTTAAGGTTGTCAAACCGGTTTAAGTCATTGAGCCGGTCAAGCAAAGGGTTTGAGGTTTAATGGTCTGATCAGAGTCCGACCGGTTTGAGCCGTTTTAGGCGTTTTCTAAATATACATATATATAAGATAGTAATTAGAGATTTAATGACTGAAATACAATATATCTAACATATATCTATTAAAAACTTATTCTCCACAAAATAAATCTACCTAACATTCATGACCACCGACCATCTCCCTTCCTTCGTTCCTCTTCTTCTCTTCCCCCTCTCTTCTTCTCCCTCTTTAGGGGTCAGACCAGGGGGTTTTCTGTAGGCCATTTGAAGCTCGACTTGGATCAGACCGGGTCCAACCGGGGGTTCGATAAGGGTTTAACAACTTTGCGCATTTCACTTGCAATTGTAGTCAAAATCTAGTCATTAAAGGTTAAAAGCTTGCATTTTTTAGACTCCTAGGTCACCAAAACGCTTTTACACATAATCACGATTTTGACTGCATTGAGCACAGGGGTTGCTGAGAGTGAGCAGAGATGGAGGAATAGAAGTGCTGACGGTGGAGGCAGAAGGGGTGAAATTCAAGCTCACGGACGAGATAGCCATAGCAGAAGACGGGGCAATGTATTTCACGGATGCTTCTTCTGTATACAGTGTGGCAGAAGCCATCTTTGACATTTTGGAAGGGAAGCCGCATGGCAGGTTGCTGCGATATGATCCTGTCACTAAACAGACGGAAGTTCTGCTCCATGACCTCTACTTTGCTAATGGAGTTCAGGTGTCCCCTGATCAACAGTCCCTCGTCTTCTGCGAATCATCCATGTAATCAAATTCCCTTGCTGTCTTGTTTGATTCCAGGGTTTCTGTTTGCCAACCAACCAACCTTCTGCAACTGTAACACAACTCTCCCTATTCTGTGTCTTGTTCTATGGGGCAAAATGACAGGAAAAGGTGTAGCAAATATTACATAGATGGGGAGAAGAAGGGCAAGGTGGAGAAATTTGCTGATAATCTACCTGGAGTTCCAGATAACATCCACTATGATGGTGAAGGCCACTATTGGATTGCGCTTCCCGGGGTAAATTGCACTGCTAGATTTGAGATTCTTGTCTGTTGATTACTATCTGGTTATGATGGATTCGAGCTTCGGTGATGAACTGATGACAGGGAATCAGTACCCTTTGGGATTATGCATTCAAACAACCCATTCTCAGGAAGATTATTGCAATCCTGACAAAGCACCTATGGCCACTGCAATTGGAGAACAGTGGGGTTTTCGTGGTGGATTTGGAGGGGAAACCTGTTGCACTTTACAGTGATCCTCAACTCTCCATGATCACCAGTGGTGTCAAGATTGGAACCCACTTGTATTGCGGCTCCCTTGTAGATAACCGCATCCTTCGCCTTGATCTGGCTAAGCATCCAGCACAGCAGACCGCATGAGTTATGAAAGCAAACGAACGAGAAACATAAAACTCAGCACTTAGTTGCTGCTACTGTTGCACTTGTTATGATGGTTAAAAGAACGCTGATGTATGGTTTACACGAATGAGATAGATTTATCTTCCAAATAAGATCACCATGGCACAAATTTGTCGGCGAGAATCTGCTGTTCATAGTAAGCTTGACAGACAAGGCATACAACTCATAATATAACGAACATCCAGACCTAGATTTACTGCTCCAAGTTACAGACCGACCAGCCTCATAGGCAGAACGCAGAAACAAAGTTCTCAGCTTTTCCCGAGCCTACGATTGTCCCAATCCAGCATTTCGAACGTCTCTTCTACCGACAAAATTATTGAACCGAGCCGGGAAAAGCAACAGGCTACTGACACACTAGATGTAACAAGCTAACAAGTCCGTCCAACTCCCCCCACAGGGCCTACTGCCCTTCAGGAAGGGCGGGATAGGTGACTCAAGCGAACATACTGCTAAATAAAACACAAAGGGACTCACTGCCCGCCCATTGAGGCAAGACAGCTCATAGGCGACTCGTGCCAAGAGACAGCTACTTTAAATTAGAAAGGACTCGCTCACTTTCCCTCACGAAGGCTCCTCTTCATATCATCATTCTCCTTGTTGAGAACATCAATCCTCGACTGGAGAATGTTGATCATAGCTTGAGTGCTCATCAAATCCAGCTTCAGCGTCTCCCTCTCAACTGAGACTTTGTGCACCTCACGCTGCAGGTCGTTGATGAACTTCATGCAACCAGAAGGGACCAGCGACTCGAGGCTAGAAGCAGTGAATGTGGATTCCTTTGGGGGAGAAGGTGGAGGGGTGCGTTCTTTGGGCTCCATAAGGGAGAACTCTAGCAGTGCAGATATGGCTGTAGTAGTTGCAGCAGTTGTCGTCATCATCGTATCAGTAGTAGCAGTAGTAGTAGCTGTTGTGGTGCTAGATGAGGAATGGTCCTGGGTTGTTCTGGTCGACTTCTCTGAACCATTAGAGTCATAGTCGTTGTGCTTCCTTCTTTTGTATTGGATCAGCGGGAAAGGAGCTTCTGTGTTGAGGACGCACATGGGAGTTTCCTCATCCATCTCCACACTTTCATTCTTGCACAGGGACAGAAGGTCTCGGGTCCGCTTTGGTACTTCATTGAAATCGAAGGATTCTTTGCTCAGGTTATACTTATCCTGCAACCAAATAAAAGCAAGTCAAAATCTCTAAATAAACCTGTTTTTTCATGACATAACTGAGCTATAGCCTTAAGAAAAACAATTTCACAACTATGACTGAAACAAGTAGAAGAAGGTTCTCATCTGAAGCAACACGAATCTGTTTGTAACAAATTCTGGCTTAAATGTTTTAAAACAATCCTCCCGAGAAGGTAGCCTTCACTACCAACTGGCAAAACTAGGGGCAGATCCTTTCGCCAGATTTAGGCGTCTCATCCATTACAGAAGAGATCGAACTGATTCAAATGGGGCCATTAAATTCTCATTCATGGATGCATGCACTAAGAATTTGGATGACTTATGTAAGCACCCATCAAGAATATAATAGAAATGGTCATCCCAGAACTTCATTCTGCAGTACAAACTTGGAGGTTACTTTGCATGGACTTAGAACAGGTAACAACAGCAGTCAGAGACAGTGAATAAAACCAGATTGACATAAGCAAACTCCAACAATACATTTGCGATTATACTCTCACTGCCACCATCTACCAGTCATAAACTCCTCAAACAACAACTTGCCTATTAGTTACTACCTAGATTCTTTAGATTTAGGAAATTGAGTCCGGCAAGCTACATTGTGGTACGGCTCTAGTGCAGGACTCTTTAACGTGTCTGCACACTCTTCAACCAATCAAATATAGTTCAACAAAATGATGAAAATGGAACTTATTGATGAATTAAAAATATCGTTGCTAGCACCGCAGGCACATCTAGTTAATTTATACAGGTGAGATGTCGCATTTTGCGAGGAATCACTACAGAAAAAATATCGGAAAACAGAAGTTAAGGAGTTATCACGCATCTTTGGATTCTAAAGTTTGGAGGTTTTCTCTAGTTGGCTGTTTATTTCAGTCACTGGAAACCTTGGGGAAGAACAAGATGCCTACCATCTACAGAAATATGATGTAAGTTCTAATAAATGCTCCCTGACACCAACAATGTCTTCTTGCTACCAAACTTCCACCCCTCCATTTGTTATTTTACCGGACGTCCTACCATATAACCATCTTGCAAATGCCTAGAGACACCTTTCCTTGACCGTAAATGTATTGTTTCCAAATTACAATGATAGTTTTAACCCTGAAAGATCATTACCTCTCACCCCAGAGTCATTCTACCTTGTTGTAGTATTACTATTACTACACAGGATCATTTGACTACCCAAAAGTGAGCTCAAGTGTCCTTTCATCACAGACAGGAAAGGCGAACATACATGCTTGTGCAGTATACACACCTAAAAGTGAGGGCCCTAAAACCCAGTACCACAAGAGGACATGTCGGTTTGGCCACATAACAAAAAGGTAGAATTTAGTTTCAATAAACACGAGAAAGCACAAAACATGCATCGGCTGAGGTTCCCTCGTCATAAAAAGATACGAGAGAGCAAAACAGATTCAGTGGATTCCTTTCAAAGAGTCCAAGTCCACAGCTTATGGTTGATCTTGCAAACATTAAATTCTGCCGAAGACAACTTCTCAACCTAGAAAAAAAATCTAGATCCATTTCATGCTCTGTCAATTAAAGGTACTACTTACTCTCTGAAAAATATGCCTGCTATGATTAGAGCATTATTTCTTGCTCAACATATACAAATTTAGAGCATGAAAGACAGATATTATAAACATGTCATAAAGCTGAAGTTTCACCTGCTCGACATGATTCATCTCAGCATAAGCTCCATTGCAAGCAACAACTTCATCCGCTGCTTCTTCACCAGGGACAAGGGCAGGCTTGCCATCATCCCACTCTTCCTCCATGAAAGGAGCATAGCGGTTTCCACTTGGTGGTCCTATGTTATTCTTGTGAAACACTCTACACAGAACATATGAATCGCCCTTCATCGAAACAAAACAAAGAGAAAGATATTAACAAGCATCATTTGTGCGATTATGGACATTGAAACTCCGACCAGACAAACCAGATAAACCACAATCAAACTTCTAGATCCTACAAAAGGAATGGACTTGCAAGTTGCAAGTATAAGGTCCTCCATGCAGTTAACTTGACCACCACTTCAATATGCTGTAAACATCTTCAATCATGGCAACTGCTTGTTCCCAACAGAACCAGCATTCTCTACATAGAAAGCATTTCTCACCTGCAAAATCCCAATCCTCTCCAACTCCTCCTCGACTAAACGGTACTCATGCATAACCCAATTGGTGCGCTGGCCACCAGGGGCTCGTCCACTATGGAACACAAGAGTCTTCTTCATCGCAATGAGTTGGTGGTCTCGACGAATTTCCCGGTCTTTCCCGGTTGCTTTCCAGTAACCTCTGCCGGTAGCTCTGTTCATCCTTGCTCCGTTGCCATATTTCTTGTCCAATGCACTGAAGAAGTACCACTCTTGGTCTCTGCTTTTCAATCTTGACTTATCTGAAACTCAAGGGAAGATAAAACCCAGTGAGATAAGACAACAAAAATCAAGCAATGCCCTCATACCAACATGCAAAATTGGGGAAAACATCCCCAAATCAAACTATTGAAAGCCTGGGGGGAAACACAACTCTACCGTACTCACAAGGGTAAGAAATGAAACTAATTTAACAAAACGTACTAGATTTTAGCAATGTACGAGACATTAGAACTTGCGCATCGGGAAAACAGTAAGCACAAGCCTTGAACTGAAGAACTTACAACCTAATCCAAAACACACAAAATCTAAGAAACCCAGACAAAAAAGACGAACAAAGACGAACACTTTAGACAAAAGAAGAAGAACCCAGAAAGATTTCAGTCACAGAGATAACGGAGACAAAGCCCAAAACCCGAAGAACGTACCGGCAAGTTCCCACGGCTCATTTTTGTAGATATCGACTTCAGCGATGGCGTTGAAGCGAACGGGCTTGTTCCCAACCTTACGCTTCAAGTAATAGCTGACGAGCTCCTCATCCGTCGGGTGGAATCGGAAACCAGGAGCCAGCGCAGTCGTACTTGGCGCACCACCACCGGGTACAGCAGCCGCAGCCGCCGCCGCCGGTTGTGGCGCAGGCGGTGTGGGCGGAACCAACGCCAGAGCGGTACACGCTTCTCGAGGCATGATGATAGAGTGGGGAGCGAGGGGGCGGAGGGGATTAGGGTTTGGTGGAGGCGTGGGGGAGGGGAAATGGAGAGGAGGCGGATAATTAGATTGAATAGAAAGGAAAGGTACCTTCAATTGCAAGCAATTTTGGTTGGTTCGTTCTTTTAAAAGGGCCGAAGCCTGAAAAAAAATACAATGGGAAAGGAAAGGCAAGTAATTTTTTTTTTTGAGCGTTACAGTAATTAACGATAGAGACGATAACATTTTAGTTTCCTGTTTTCTCCTTTTTTTCCTTTGACCTTATTCCTCCCCCTGATTTTTATTTTGTTTATTAATTTGAGACTTGTCGTTTTCCCCACTCTTCTATTTACGGGGATTTTTATTACCCGCTTTCTATTTTACATATTGCCAAAATACTTGATTCAATATGTCTACCGACCTCTATCGGAGATAAAAATACTTAGATCTAAACCCGACTTATCATGAAGATAGTATGTCTATATGTGTATCGAAATACCCGTCTCGATTTAACTAGAATTGTTTAATTGAAACATAAATGGATCAATTTGGAAAGCTCCATTGTCACTTGTGTGGAATCTTTATAGTCATTGACTCTGCGAAGATAAGTCGATAGCAATCCAAATTGATGCTATCGACTTGTCTCGACTTATAAGCCTCATGATAGCAGCTCGAGTCAAAGTTTAACGTCAATATAGAAAACCATGAGAGTTCAAAGATAGTACAAAATGATGAATGAAATAGATGTTTTAAAGCACTTTTACTTTGGTTCAAAGAATTAATGAATTACATAACACTTATCAATAAGAAAAATAACTCATAAGTTCATAGAATCCTCGCTCATTAGCTCATAAAGTTCTTGACCTATAAATTGTATTAGTAGATTATATTAGTTTCCCAATTTTTATATCGTTGCCGCATTTTAAACGCGCGCCTAAAGTCCATAGAATACTTGTTCAATAGCTCACAAAAGCCTATTTGGCGTTGTCTAGCAGCACGCCTTGAACTATGGCTACATTGGGATGGGTATGAGCTGGAAGTACTCAGCCAGATATGGTTCCGTCTCCTGGTATCTATTCTTCAAACGTGTTCATTAGGTTCCCGACAAGGTTGTTAAACCATTATTAGGCCCCCGGTCGACCCGTTCCGGCCTAAGTCGGACTTCAAACGGCCTACAGAAAGTCCTCTGGTCTGACCTCTAAAGAGAAAGAAGAAGAGAGGAAGAGGAATGAAAGAAGGGAGATGATGGGGATCATGGAGGTTAGATATATTTATTTTGTGGAAATATGTTTTTAATAGATACATGTAAGATAAATTTCATTTCAGTCATTAAATCTTTAATTACTAACTTTTATATATATATAGAAAACGTCTAAAACGGCTCAAACCGGCCAGATCCCAATCAGACCATTAAATCTCAAACCCCTTACTTGACCGACTCAATGACTTAAACCGATTTAACAACCTTCCACGGAAAGCCTCCCAAGTCCCAACTTTTATCTCCCCAGCAAGGAAGTACACTTTAATGACAATTCATTGGCTTATGCAGCAAGGTAACGGGAAGAAAGAGACAGCATCAGCTACCTTTCGCTGCACGTCAGGCCCAAACACCACAGTTTCCCAGTTCCTGCTGACTGCTGTAACAGATTGTCAAGCAAGAAAGTTGTCTTGTATTTGGCTCCTGTCTAGCATAACTATAGAAAAAAGAGCAAGTCTGAAGAAAATATTTCTCATTATATATATATCCAAAACCGGGCTTCCTTTCACTCTGCTTTAGGATTTCTAGCTGCAATACGAAAAGCTGCAAGATATCCTGTAGTCAGGGAAAAAAGGAAGTGCTAGTGTGACGATCTAGTGCCTATTACGAAAGTCTCGAATTGGTTTGAAATGTTCCTGCCATGTTAACAACTTTCTCTTCAATACTTTGTAGGCCCTAGCTTCCTCCTCGCCGAAGTTGCCAAGATGCTTGTCGAATTTCAAGCCAATGGGACAGAGATCTTCAAAGATATGTCTGTCAGGATCTTGATTGTCAGCATCACCGGCTTCTTTACTGTGCAGTTTTCTAATTGAGGTACTAAATCTGTGATCCCTAGGATAACCGCTGTCGTGATAACTAGTTCCACGAACTACTGCTGCTGCTGGACGATATAGCATGAAAGATTTTGGCTGCTGAGAATTAACCCAGATATCATCATTGTGGCAAGGGATACAGCATTCTCATCTCAATACCAAACATGGTGGCGGAATCTATTGCAGCAACTTCCTTCGCCATTCGCATTACTTCATCACATTGGACATTGAGGTCCGCAGACAGCTTCCTCCTGGGTGCTTGTTTGGGCAGCCACCATTTTTCAGTTCGTGGACGGTGATCAGAACTGGCAGAGAAAGAATTGGACCCACGAGGGTGTCCTCATTAAGCGACTCTTTTTGTGACCATTTGTTGCTACGATGTGAGGGCTTCCTATGGAGGCAACTGGGGGAGATCAGGGACTGGTAAAAACTCCACTGAAAGCGTTTTCTGGTCTAATAGCACATCAAGAAGTTCAGAGTAGCTAGAAAGCTGAGCTGTAGGAGTTCCATCGGCAAGCCTGCCCATGTTTTCCTCAAAGCAACTTCACGTATGCTTGTTGGCATGTTCACATCCATAAGAACAAGGCTGACAATTGGAGATGCTCTAAACCGATTCAGCCCACTAATCTTCAACTTCTCACACAATGCTTCATGACAGTCCAAGCTAAAAGATTCCGCATTCGAAGGACCCACCTTGGAAGCATTCCTCGTGTTTAGATCTAAGATCTTAGAGAGATCACCGTTCAAGTACGCAGAGAGATAATCCAATTCTAAATATTTAAACTGAGATCACCGTTCAAGTACGCAGAGAGATAATCCAATTCCAAATATTTAAACCTTCCAGGAAATTTGTACCTCTCATACTCCAAAGATGAGTGTGAGTTATTAGCATGACTCAGCAATGGGTCAATGTGATGGTTTGTTGTTCTGACCAAATCCCATGACGCAGTGTATCGCTGTAACTCAAGCTTCCCAGAGGAGATCAACCTAATCAGACTAAATCCACCAAATTCATCAGGCTCGTGCAGCAACGAGCACAGGTCTTCACCAAGAATGCCAAATCCTAGAACAATATCTCTCTTCTGCTTCCAGTCGAGCCATTCAGGAAGAGCATCTTCTGAAAACTCTGCTTTCACAAGACAGCTCCCACAGAGGCAATTGGCATTAGGCAGATTGAGACCAGACGGGAGCTCCCATGCATAAAAAGGATTTGGAAACTTCAGAGATTTTCATTGCAATCGACTTATAAGGAGCAGGCAGAGGGGTCCATAGGGAAAGACCGAAAGAGACTAAACTCAGAACTGAAGAACGATCCAAGTAGAATGCCAAAACCAGATTCAGTTGCCCACTTATGTGTATTACTACCCTTGGGGTTTGACCTTAAGTTGGACATTCTAAAGGTATCAACATAACATGGCTTGTCAAGACTATGTGCCCATTGCAAAACCGGTGTAAATGCTCAACGAACGTCACAGAGAACTAACAGTCACAGACTACCAGATACCAGAATGAAGTGAAAATGACTGGAAATGGCGTTGGAGAAAGCTCTGAAAACGAGTCATTACAGAAGGAGCATAAGGGCCAAACATATCAACTTTAGCTAAACAAGTCACCTTATGCTGATCTGACCTCCAATCAACCAAGAAAGCAGCATCAGAACGTGCAACAATCAAAACTCTAGGATGCCAACTGAGCTTACAACCCAACCAGTTGCAGTTCCCAGAATTAGGAGATTCATCATCCCATGACACTTTCAAACAAAAACAATGAACTGTTCTCCAGCAGAACCACACTCTCTTCAGGCAAATGCGGGTCACAACGGCAGAGCTTTGAAACGTTCTGGAACCCATATACACCACCGCTCCACCAATTCTAATGCAGAACCAATGCACTGAATAAATACAATAAGCCAACAAATACCCAATAATAGCATCAGAATCATCAGCAGAAGACTCACCTCCAAGCCAGCCTGAACCTGCAACTGGGTTCACCAAAACCCCTCTAATCCGCTGACTCAATTGCTTATTGGCGCTGTAAACGCCGCCAGTGGCATTCCCAAATGCATTCAAGCTACCCTCTTTCGCTTCCAACACCAAAAACCCAATTTGGTCGAAATTGGAGCCGGTGGGGAAGAAGACCATGACGGAATTCCCCCGAGGAGACCTAAGGAACTGAATTCGATTCCGATCAAGCCAGGAAGCTTGAGATGCAGGAGACGGTGGAGAGAGGAACGTAAGAATCGTGGTGGGCGGAAGCTGAGGTGGCGAGGAATTGAGCGAACGAGAGGTGGGAAGGAGGATTGATATTAGGAGGAGAAAGAGCAGGGTTAAAGAAGGACTTCCATTCCTCCGAGATATCCATTAATGGAGGGCGCGAAGGCCCGTTGAGTTTTCAGCGGAGGAAGGGCACAACAGGTTTTCGAGTGAAACGGGACCTTCTTCCGCCGACTTGCCGCCATGGGCAACCCTCAATTTTGATCTTTTTGCTGTTTGAGAATCAAAAGTTTTAATCTTTTTGTTTTTGCCTGTTTTTCGTTTATTTTATTTTTTTATGTCCTATATTGTTTTTTTCCGAAACACCTGTCAGCAGCAGCAGAAAGGGAAGAACACTACTCGCCAAGGCGCCAACGCCACTCTCTCCCCTTAATCCCATTATCACCCAACAACAATATTTTTTTTCCTGATTCGATCGGCGCCTTCTCTCTTTCTCTAATCGTCTTTCTCTTCTTCAATCGCTTCAAATTCCGGCAAAGTTTCCTTCTTTGTACGGTCCGTACCCATCATTCACAAGGAAGGAAGGAACACACAAAAGGGTTCTTCGTTTTTGCGGAGGGAGAAGAGAGAAAGATATGGCAGCAGCTGCCGCCTCTTCTTTTAATTTCTCTTCTGCTTCTCCTCCTTCCACTCCTTCCGCTTCCAGAGGCTCCCCTGCCCACGATTACTCCTTCAAGATTCTCATGATCGGCGATTCCGCCGTCGGCAAGAGCAGTATTCTCCTCAAATTCATTTCCGACGCCGATCACGATCCCTCGCCCACTATTGGTATCTATCACTCCCTTCTTCCCTGGATTTGTCTGTCGTCGCATGGGTTTCTGATTACTCTCTCCATTTTTCGCCCAATTTTTCCCGTGGTTCGGGAATCCGGGTGGTAAAATTGGCAACTTTTTGTGCTTGTCAGCATGAATTATGAATCGTTCTTAATAGTCGTAAATGGAACCTCTGGTTGATTTTTGGGAAACGAACAAGGAACAATTCGTGCTACCCTGATCTCATCGGTCCCTATTTTCTTTCTGGAATCAAATTATGCCTGCAACTGGTTTGATGAAGTGCTCCAGTGAAATTTTCTTTCAGTAGTAGATGGTAGACATGAGGGAGCTTAGCGGCCTCACGGTAGTAAAGTCATCATCTCTGCATGCTTGCATTGCATGTATTGGGTTTTGGTTGTCGGTTCTGCCTGATTTGCACCGAAAGTGACATGGTACAAGATTTGGAATTCCTGAAAGTTTCTCATTTGGGGTTCGGAGTTATTGGGTGGATTGACATATATTTTGTTTGATGATTTGCTAATCTGTTTCTTTGAGACTTCCATCTGTGGAAGAGCAGGAGTCCCTGTCAGTTACTAAGGATTTCTTAAGAAAAAATTGGTGCTGATATGCATCTGTGTACCTATTGTATGGCATTTGGTTTGCTGGCATACATATACATCATATTCTGGTTCGACGAATGCAGGTGTGGACTTCAAAATCAAGACCGTCATGGCCAATGATAAAAGATTGAAGCTTACGATGTGGGATACAGGTAATTGGTGTTTCTACTACCTGTGCAGACTTTACTCATAACTGCGAGTGTACCGTTAAGTGAAGGAATTATCCTGACCATCGTGGGTGTTCTTCGCCTTTCTGTCTTTATTTTGAAAGGTTATCCATTATTTTCTAGTTCATTGTCTACTAATTGTTCTCTCGTTTCGAGCTTGATGCTGTAGTTAATGCTATCATGAGAATGTCGTCCATTTGTTGTGTGTATTAATCTACCATGGAATTGCCCCCTTTTATTTAAGCACTTCTCAGTAGTGATATTGGTTCAGCTGCTTAGTTTACATTTTGGATTTTATTCTCTGGATCTGGGGTAAGGTTATGATATTCTGAAGCCACAAGTATCACAGACCTTCTCTGGGGAGGGAAAATTACACCAATTTAGTGACAATTTGCTGCAGCTCAATCATGACATTTAAATTTAGGTGCTGTGAGTTCGAACCTGCCCGCAGTCTCTAATGAAAATTGATTGCATCTTCTCTGGACCCTTTTGAACTTGGTTTTGTGTTGTTATTGTAGCTGGACAGGAGAGGTTTGGAACGGTAACAACATCTTATTACAGAGGAGCACATGGGATCATTCTTGGTAAGCTTTTGCCTTAGTGGAGAACCACCTTCTTAGGTGTCTGACATTACCAAATATACGTTCTTTGACAAATTAACAGTACTTGGATGTTTTTGTTTCTTTCTATGAACGAAGAACTTCTATACTTGAAAGACAGCTCATAAGAGAAATTAGGGAATTGATGTTAAGCATTTGGTTTCCATTTAATCTCAGCACACATAGGTCATATGGGTTAAACTTATGGAATTTCATATGTCAGAAGAAGTGAAATTTCAAATTCCAAATATGAATTTTAAAAAGAAACAAGTGCGGGTTGAGTGTTTTGCCATTTTCTGTGTTTAGTCTAGGTCTGCTCTTTTTATGAAGGACTATGTTGCTTGGATGTAATACTATAAAGATGTATGCTTAGATGCCGTAACGTATCACGTAATTTGCAACTCTTTTCCTTGACATATTTTCATAACTAGCCTATTGTGTATCTATACTTAAATGAATCTATCAGTCACAGGAACTTAATTGTACCGTGAAGACATAATAAGCCATTTACTAATTGGAAGATGGTTCATGTTTTATTTGTCATATGATGAGGAAAATGTAAGCGCAATATCTGAGCAGTTTGTTTTTTGATTTCATCTTAGTTTATGACGTCACAAAGAGAGATACATTCACAAACCTATCGGAGATATGGGCTAAAGATGTGGAACTTTATTCTACCAATCATGAGTGTGTCAAGCTTCTAGTTGGAAACAAAGTTGACAAGGTAAGTGCAGCAGTTAAACTTAGATCTCCTCCATCCACCATGTATGCCCACGAGCCACTATATGGACAAAGAGCCATGTAACTTTTCCATTCTCACTTAAATGTTCCGTCATCAAGATTTGAGGTATTGGAGCTAGTATGAACATGTGGAGATATGGTTTATAGTGAGAGAAGTTGCTGTCTTGAATTGACTGTTTAATTATCTTCAGGACAGTGAACGCTCTGTAAGCAGAGAAGAAGGGATGGTTCTAGCACAAAGGCTTAAATGTTCGTTTATTGAATGTACTGCTAAATCTAGAGAAAGCGTGGAGCAACTCTTCAGAGAGATTATATTGAAGGTAAACAACAGAAAATTTCTTAGCAGTTGTTTTCTCTTTCTGTTGTCTTTGTTCGTATCCTGATGATATTTCCATTAGCCAACATGCTTTTTCTTGAAACCAATATGATAAGATATATCTATTAATAGCATTTTTCTTTCTGTCCTTGTCCTTGACCAACTCTCAGTGCTTTTACAGATATTTGAAGTACCTACCCTGTTGGAAAAGGGATCTGGAGTACCAAAGACTCCGACGATTCGAGCAGAGAGACAAGCGTCCCAACAAGGTCGCAGAAATGGATGCTGTTCTTGATCGGAGTGTCCTACAAGCACCGGCATTGCAGAGATGTGAACATATATTCAAATATGATTGAATCTTAGTTTCCAACTAAAAGCTGCTTAACTGGAAGATTCAAAAGTCTACTACTGTGCATTGTTCATGTGGCCAACAGTACTCGTAACGGTGTCTCCTCCAGATCCAACCAAACCCAAACACAGCCTCAACCAATGAGTTGTGAGGCTTTGAACAATTGGGCCATCAACTGCTTGCTTGTGTCTAGTCGGGCGAGCGAGAGTCTTGTGGGTGCTGTAGATCTCAGAGTCAAATCTGTATTCTGGTGTTGTTCGCTCACCTTCAAAAAGAGTTTTTTCTCTTTGAGTTTTATCATCTGTCCACAGCGTTCATACATTGGTAGAAGAGAGTGTGTATTGTTGTTGCTTGTAATTGAGAGCTGAAAGAAAAAGTCACAGAAACATGCAGCAGGTTTATTTGTCCTTGTACCAGTAGAAGTCGCAGCACTTACAGCAGATTCATTATAATTTTTTATGTACTTTGATTGCTCGATTACTCCCAAATCAAAGCACACTCTTTTACTCACTGACTCGCTCACTCTCAGGAATCCATCTCATAAAGCGATAACCTGACCTACTGAAACATTTCAAGTAATCAGAGGATAGAACACTTCCAGGCCATGAAGAAGAAGAAGAAGAAGAAGAAGAAGAGAGAAAAACATTCTCTAATTCTGTATTTGATCGCATGGGTTACACTAAAGTCCAACAGTTTCTCCCAAAACAAAAGTTAGCAGTACAAAGTTTTACAGCAAATCTGTCGTCGGAGCCAGAGTTGCTCTGTAAATGCTAATTTCTGAAGTCCATTTGCTCCCTCGTCGATGGGTTTTTCTTCCCGCCCTCCTCTTCCGCCGCCGCGTAGGGACCGCCGAGTCGCCGATGATTTCTCTTCATCTGCGGCGAGACACGAACAGTTTCCCCCGGGAGGAAATGGTGGGCGAGGAAGTCAAGGGGCGGGAACAGAGTGGGGAAATCGCAGAAGGTGGCATTTTGAATATGGTCCACCAGATATTCCGCCGGCGTGGGAGGGGCGGGGAGGGAGACGGTGCCGCGGAAGTTCTGGTAGAAGCCGACGAAGTAGAAGCCGGTGCAGAGGGCAGCCGTCAGGATGAGGCGGAAGAGATTGGGAACTGAAGTCGTCGTCGCCACCGCCATGGGAATCTGGCAGAAAACAGAGAGATCTCTGGAGGAGAGAAGGGAAGGGGGAAAATGGATTTGGGTTTGCGTTCTCGTCAACTTATTAGAAAACCCAATTTCCCCGATCCGTGAAATTCGATGATCGGATTAAGGGATCGGCGAGAATCGGGAGGAACAGCTTTCGATTCTGCATTAGCAGCATCTGTTTCTCAGGACAGGCACAGGGTTCCTGCGACAGTTTACGAAAGGGAAGAAGAATGATGCTGTACAGGGCGATTGATTCTGTCCTGTATGAAGAACAAAAGGTGACAATAACAGTTTGGGACATTGTTTTGGTCACCGACTGGCTGGATGGAGGGAGTGATCAACAGAGCAACCATGGCAGCAGCAAGCAGCCAGCACCTACTTGGAAGAATCGAACACCTTTGGAACACATGGACAAGAAAGAAAGCTTTAAACGTGTTTGAATGAAATTGAAATTAATACTTTTAAATCTAGTATGGACATTTGGTTTGGTTAGCGGTTAAAAATCGAAACAAACTCAAACGGGATCGATAAAAATGTCTAAGATTTTCAATTGATAATATGGTGCGACAGTTTATTTGGAAATTATAGGTGCCAATCATATCAACACGATTTATTGAAGGCGAAATAGGTTGACAATTAAAATTAATGGTCAAATATGTCCATTAACTTAGCTAAATTTTCATACATATTCGTAGATTTGAAATTTCAAATAAAAGTTATTTTTTTATGCAAATTGCAAAGTTTGGATCAAGCATTTAGTGAGCATTTAGTGAGAACAATCAATTAAACTGCGTGACACTTAATTGTGAGGTATTCCATTTGTCCTGTATGAGAGCCGTGATTATGTCGAAAAATTGAAAATCTATCAATTTCGGGGACATTGTGACACAACTCCTAAGAGCATCTCCATTGGTGCAATTTCATTTGCAATTGCATTTGTGGTTTTTTTTTTTACACAACACCATTTTTCAAGCCAACTCATATTACTTTCATTGCACTACATCAATCCAATTGCCTTGCAATTGCAATTAATTTTTTTAATTTAGTTTAATAAAATATAAACACTCAAATAACAAATTAATGAATAATTTAATAATAATAAAAAAAAGATGACATGACTTGCATCTCATAATTGCATTATATGCAAGCTTGCAAAGATGCAATTGTCATCTACATCAATGCAATTGCATTAATGAATGCCATGTCATAATACAATTCTAAATGAAATTCCAATGGAGATGCTCTAATGAGCAAAAAATTTGTGACGAATTCCCTGACAAAAAGTTAATTTTTATTGGGGAAGGAGGCGAATCCCTTAAAATTCACCAAAACATCCTCCAATCAAGCACAACAAATCCTCTATATGAGAATTTGTGATGAAGGAAAGGAATGGAGATTAACACGGGTTTATGGATGGCCAGAACAGGGCAACAAATCTCGCACGTGGAACTTAATAAGACAGTTAGGTGATCTAACAGACATGCCATGGCTAATGAAAGGAGATTTCAACTTGGTTCAGTGTTACGCTGAAAAGAATGGAAAATATGATGCAAATGAACAGGAGATGGAGGGTTTCAACAAAGCATTGGAAGACTGTAACCTAGAAGACCTAGGCTTCTATGGGCGACGGTTTACCTGGGATAACAACCACAAGGATGACACTTTTTGGAAGAGAGACTGGACAGAATGGTGGCTACAAACCAGTGGATGGCTCTATACCCTCAGGCAAGGGTGTACCACCTGAATAGATGTGGATCAGATCACAATCCTCTGCTTTTGCATACACAATTGGGAGAACCGGAATTTAGGTGGGGAACCTTCTTTGGGTATGAAGCTTATTGGCAAAAGCATCAGGACATTAAAGGAGTTGTGGAGGAGGGATGGAAAAGGATCGGGAATGGGTCAGTATTGGAAAAGCTTCGAGAGTGTGAGGATAAGCTCAAGCACTGGAGCAAGGCAACTTTTGGAAACCTTAAACATAGAAGGAAAGAGATAGAGAGGGTACTGGGGAAGATTGGTAAGCTTCAAATGAACCAGGCCCTTATCCAGCAGCGTGACACCTTAGAAAAGGAGCTGGATATGATTTTCGAAATTGAGGAGGTGAAATGGAAACAGAGGTCCAGAGCTGAGTGGCTCAAGGAGGGGGATAAGAACACCAATTATTTCTACCGTCGTGCTTCAGAAAGAAGGGAGAGGAATACTATAAGAAAACTAAGAGACACAACTGGGAAACTTTTTGAAGGACATGATCGAGTAGCAGCCTGTTTGGTCGCTTACTATAAGCAGCTATACTTGGTAGGCCCCCCAAGACAGGAGAGTCAGATTATTGACTCAATTCCTAGGAAGGTAACAGAAGAAATGAATGAGGATTTAATGAAACCCTTCACAAGAGAGGAGATTTGGGAAGCTTTGAAACAGATGGGACCCTTAAAGGCACCAGGAGTGGATGGCATGTCTGCTCTATTCTTTCAAAAAAATTGGTAGGGGATGATGTCACCAGGGAGCTACAAGGTTATTTGGAAGGGGGGGGGGGGGGGGGTTCTTCTCAGAGGAACTGAATCAGACCCTGATTACATTAATACCTAAGAAGAAGGCACCGAGAAGCCCTACTGATTTTCGTCCTATTAGTCTGTGCAGGGTCCTCTACAAGATTCTATCCAAAGTTTTGGCTAACAGGTTGAAGGGAACTCTCCCCGAGATCATTGTGGCTAACCAAAGTGCATTTGTACCAGGGAGATTAATCACAGATAACATCATTGTGGCATTTGAGTGCTTTCACACAATGCAAAAGAAGAAAAAGGGGAACAGTGGGTGGATGGCAGCAAAACTGGACATTACTAAGGCTTATGATCGAGTGGATTGGAATTTTTTGGAGGCTATCATGATCAAATTGGGGTTTAATGACCGCTGGGTTCATTTGATCATGGAGTGTGTCACCACTGTATCGTTTAGCCTGCTAGTAAATGGTCATCAGACAGAATGGTTTAAACCTAAAGGGGATTGAGGCAAGGAGACCCCATTTCACCATACCTCTTTCTCTTAGTGGCAGAAGCCTTATCAGGACTGATCTCGTTGGCAGAAAGGGAGAAGAAAATAACAGGTATAAAAGTTAAACGAGGGTCACCTAGCATATCCCATTTACTCTTTGCAGATGATAGTATTCTATTTACCAGAGCTACTAAACAAGAGAGTGATTAACTGAAAAGGATACTAAACCTCTATGAGATAGAGTCGGGTCAACAAGTAAATCTGGTAAAGTCAGAATTATCATTTAGCCCAAACATTGAGGCAAGCAGAAGAGAGGAATTAACAGGAATACTTGGCATGAAGGGGGGGAGTTCCATGAGAAATACATAGGCCTACCAACAAGAGTGGGCAGAGGAAAAAGAGCAGTTTTTGGATATCTGATTGATCTAGTAAGGAGCAAGGTGAAACACTGGAAAAGCAAGCTATTATCTATTGCGGGAAGAGAAGTGCTGATCAAGGCAGTAGCACAATCACAGATGACATATGCAATGTCGATCTTCTCTATCCCAATGGAAACTATAAAGGAGATCCAGAGTCTAATCACTAATTTCTGGTGGGGCCAACAGCAAGAAGAAAAGAAAACCCACTGGTTAAGGTGGGAGGAACTGAGCAGACCTAAGAAGCAGGGGGTTAGGCTTCAGAGACCTTAAGTGCTTTAACATAGCTCTCCTAGGCAAACAACTATGGAGAATAATAAAAGAACCTCAATCACTAGCAGCTCGAGTTTTGAAGGCGAAGTATTTTCCCACGAGGGATGTGCTGGAAGCCGAGAAAGGATGGAACTCCAGCTTTGTTTGGAAGGGACTGATGGAAACAAAGGACCTAATAAAGAAAGGATACCGATGGAGGGTAGGGAATGGGGAAAGTATTGATATTTGGCTGGATCGGTGGATTCCCAACAGTGAAGGATATAGAGTAACATCCCTAGGGACGAGAATCGGAGATACAACGTCAGTGGCTGAATTGATAGATGAGGAGACAAGAACCTAGAAATCTGACCTACTACAGACCCATTTCAACAGGGTAGCCAACAACAGATAGGAAAAATCCTAATCCCTCGTCAACCTTGCAAGGATGAAAAGGTATGGACAAAGGAAACCACAGGGATTTACTCGGTGCGATCAGCTTACAAGTTATGAAAGAATAGGCACGAGGAGGAATATGGGAAATTATACACACCAGCTAATTGGGAAAGGTTCTGGAAGCTTAAGATTCCACCTAAGGTGAGACTGTTTGCGTGGAGATGGATAAGGGAGATTCTGCCTACAAGAGCTAGAATTGCGGCAAGAACGCAAAGAGGTCATGATGGATGCCCATTTTGTGATCTCCCAGAGACTCAATATCACATTTTTAAGGACTGTGCTTGGGTGAGGAGGGTTTCTAGGGCTACGCCTATGAATCTATTGTTCGAGAGAGGGGAGACACTTACCTGTGAAGAATGGTATTGCAGCTTGCAAGAGACGGAGAGTGATGAGCAATTGGGGAATTTCCTCGTCGCACTGTGGTTCATTTGGGAACAACGTAACAGTCAGATGTGGAATAAGAGGAATTTGGAAGAAGGGGAAATAATTCATAGAGCATTTGGATGGTTGCAAGAGTACCTCAACATGCAGGAGGCGGAATCCGAAGTACATCGCCAATGTGAAAGGAAATGGAGACCTTCTCAGTCGGCTGATTTCACGATCTCGGTGGACGCGGGACGCCTGACGGGACAAGGAACGGGATTGGGGGCTGTGGTTAGGAAGAAGGATGGGGATTTCGTGGCGGCGGCGGTGAGGAGAACGCGGAGGTAGTGGGAGCCGATGGAAGCAGAGGTGATGGCGGTGAAGTTCGGGTTGGAGATGGCTCATCGGTTTCTTTTGCATTCCATAGCCATCCAGACTGACTGTCAGCAGGTGGAACGCCTCATCACAGGCCAGGTGGTCTCCCAAGTTGAAGTGGGCCAAATTGCAAAAGAAATCAAGGAGATGGGCCAGGCCTTCCAACATATAGAGTGGATTTACATTCCTAGGAATCAAAATAGAGTGGCACATGAAATGACCCATATTGCTTACAATTGGGAAGAAATTGAGTGCTGGGTGGATAGACCACCAATTATCATAGTTTCTCTTCTCAATGAGGAGCTAGCTTGTTTAAACGTTTGATGATTAAGCAATAAAAGCAGGTGTTGATTCTAAAAAAAAAAAAAAAAATCCTCTATATGAGTTAGGTTGAAAAGTTAAAACCCAACAATTTCAGCAAATTTTTCCAGTTAAGTTGATTCCTATCGTTTCCCAATTTGGTCTTGTCAAAACCATTTCCTCGGAAGTTTCTCTTCCATTTTTGAGCTTTACTGTTACTATTAGCAAGGCAAAAGGAAGAGAGGAGGTCGGTAGGAGACAGAGACACTGGAAACTAGAAAGAAGGAAAAGAAAAAGAAAGGGGTAGAGTCGTAGAGAAAGATGAGCAAGATCGGAAGAAGATTCGAGGGAAAGGTAGCTATCGTCACCGCTTCCACTCAGGGTATTGGGTTCGCCATCGCTCAGCGTCTTGGGTTAGAAGGCGCCTCCATTGTTATCTCCTCTCGCAAGCAGGTTCCCTTTTTCCTCCTTCCCTTCATTTCATCGAAGCTTTCGACTGACTGCAGAATTCCTTTCCTGGGATTCTGTCAATATAGCTTCATTCTGTCTTCTTGGGTTGTCTTCTGTCAAGCTGGTCTTCTTCCTTCTCGGCCTCTTACGGCTGATCTCGTATGATAATGGTGTTGCTCTGTTAATGTCGCTTCCACAGAAGTTGGTGTCTTTGATCATCTGCACAGAAGTTGGTTTATTTTATTGTTTCTCTATTCGAATCACTTGGTTATGCTTTGCAGTGCCTTTTGATTTGATTGAATTGAATAATTCCCTTTTCCCTAAAAGAAACCCAGAAAATTGAAAGAGAATGAATTGGTTGATCCCTTGGCAGCAAAACGTAGATGAGGCAGTTGAGAAGCTCCAAGCACAGGGCGTCCAGAACGTGATCGGTGTTGTCTGTCATGTCTCGAATGCGCAACAGAGGAAGAATCTCATTGAGAAAACTGTTGAGGTGAGTTAGATAAAGATTAGATGAGTAAATTCAGCAATTCCATTTCATTTCAATCCATGCCACTTCTAGAACTTGTATAGCATAAGCATGGTGTGATTCTTGTTTAGCTCATCTGTCTATCTGGTGTGCAAATTGCCTTGTTTCAGAAATATGGGAAAGTAGATGTGGTTGTATCCAATGCTGCTGCCAACCCATCCACCGAATCCATTATAAACACAAAGGATTCCGTCCTCGATAAGCTCTGGGAGATTAATGTCAAAGCATCGATCCTTCTCTTGAGGGTACACAGCACAATCAACCCACCCAAATTTCCCGCTTGCTTGCTGCTGGTCCTTGATCAAGCATTTGGTGAATATATTAGCCTCTCGTTTTTTGTTCTGCAGGATGCAGCTCCACACATGCCAAAAGGTTCCGCAGTTGTTCTAGTTGCCTCCATTGCTGGCTACCACCCACCGGCCTCAATGGCTATGTATGGGGTCACTAAGACCGCCCTTCTCGGCCTTACCAAGGTATGTGTGTGGTAAGGATCCCAAGTTGTATTTGCAAGCATATGATATAGTTGCTTTGGTCTTTCCAAGTTGTTCACTTGGTTTACTGTTTCGAACGTTATCTCGAGTAGGCCCTTGCAAGCGAGATGGCGCCTGACATTCGAGTGAACTGCATAGCTCCTGGTTTCGTGCCAACACATTTTGCTTCTTCCATAACAGGGAATGTTGAACTGGTAAGAAACCACTGCTACATTCGCATTGTCGATCGAGCAGAAGTCAAGTCGTCTTGATTGATGCTTATCGACGATCTAGTCTTCTAGGCGATGGCCTTTGTTGATCAGTTTCCTTTCTTTCCTTGTTGTTTTTTGTTGATGTAGAGAAAGGAACTAGAGGCACAGACGTTATTGAATAGACTGGGCACGACAGAAGACATGGGCGCTGCAGTGGCGTTTTTGGCGTCGGACGATGCTAGCTACATAACTGGTGAAACTCTAGTGGTGGCTGGTGGAATGCCATCTCGGCTTTAAGATGGGAGTTATTGTGTTGTTTATCTTGTAATCCCCAAGACGAGGTGCCCTCCCTCTCCCTTTCATATCTTCAGCATACAAATAACAGAGAAAAACACTCTTTTTCATGGACCAATGTATCTATCTCCGTGGCTGGTGCTTCTCAGTCTGTAGCCTGCAATTTGGATGGACGATTCTTGTTTGGTGAAATGCATCAAATAATAGACGGTTCTACATGTATTCAACCAAGACTCTCTTTCCACAAGATCATAGGGCTATCAACAAGCATTGAGAATACAAAAAGAGGCCGGCCTCTTTTTATTGCTCCGGCGATGAAACCGGGGTAGCCCCCGACTTCCATAGGTCCTTGGTTCGACCTCCTAATGAGAATTGAGATCCTTGCGCGGGCGTCTCATCCTTAAGACTTGCTTGCTCTGTATGTACATATGTTTGTCGTTAGACTTTAGAGGATTTGGATTACAAGGAAAACCTCTGAAGAAGGTGAAAAAGGTACAGAATGTATGGAGTGCCCCGTGGTTCCTCCTCGGGTGCCAGCCGCAGAGAGGAAGGCCATTATCAACTATGTTTTCACCGGGGATTCGGGTTCATCGCCCGATCAGACAACACCAATTCATCCCCTGAAAACGCGCCACGAAATTCGCCCCCGGTAGAATCTCTTCACCCAAGTTGTGGTTCTAAGAATCCAAGGGCATCTTCCATACACTCTTTAAGTATGCAACACAACTTCTCTCCCAACTTCATTGGACATTGTCACTGCGGAATTGATCATCATGGAATCATATGATATGAGACATTTACATTCCCAATTAGCAATGCAATGGCTGTTATCTGGTAACTTCAAGCATGGTTGGGTTATGAAGAAAAGAATGGAAGCAATGCATATAATTTTAAGTAGGGATGTACATATGTTTGTCGTTTAGACTTTAGAGGATTTGGATTACAAGGAAAACCTCTGAAGAAAGGTGAAAAAAGTACCAAATGAAATTTGATAAATAACTAGTAAGATATACCTTAAAAAAATAATTCTCACAGGATAAAATTGTAAAGTATTTTTTTAATAGATTATAGGGTAAATACAATTTAGTATCCAAACCTTTTATTTTAAACAATATAATAGCCAAACCTTTTCGAAAACAATATAATATCCAAATCGTCAACTTTCCGTTCGTTTGACCGTTAGTTGACAGTTCAAAAAAGTTCAAAGTACGACGCTTCATCAATATCCATCGATATCTTCTCTGAAAAATCACCAACATATCGTGGTTCCAAACCCGAGAAGTCCATGACTCCACCATGATGGTATAGAATATCTAAATATTCAGTCATCTGCAATGCCAAAACAAGAAAACAAAGTTGTATTGTGACAATTTCCCCTAAACAAAGCTTTTTTGAAGTGTCAACCAACGGTCAAACGGACGGAAAGTTGACGATTTGGATATTAGATTGTTTTCGAAAAGGTTTGGCTATTATATTGTTTAAAATGAAAGGTTTGGATATTAAATTGTATTTACCCTAGATTATAAGCATCAGTATCATCCCTTTCCGATGACAAGCTCTGTTATTATTATTAATCACCCAAAATAAAAAATTAAAGAAAACAATAAATTTTAGTTTTGCACATTTCACATATGTAAGTGCATATATAAATATCATCAATACCCCATCATGCAGCATAAGATGCATGGGGAGAACAAGATGAGTTAATATAATTACAAAAAAAAAACCACTATCAAATTAATAATGTAAATTCCGCCCGAATAAAACTAAGACATGAAAATTACAAAAGAAAAACCGTAATGTATGATCACGGTCAAATATTCTTTTTCTGTTTTGATGAGTAATCAAATCAAAGAATTGTATGTGCATACATGAACAATTAATTCATTCCTCAGCCGGATGAGTGTAAAAAACAAAAAAAAACAAAAACCAAAACAAAAAATAAAAATAGTAATCAAAAGAGTATATAATGCAGGGTTAAAAAAAGAAATGATTCAATCATATATATATATATATAAAACATCTTAATTTCCTGTTTGACCCTGTCTTCGAGTAAGTCGCTTCGTTATATTAGTAATGGCAATCCACCAAAGCAGGGCTGGGAAACACTAGAGCCTGTTTCTTCTGCGGCGGCTGATGCTGCTGCTTAGAAGCAAACGCCGATTGAAGCTGCTGCTTTTCCTCCGGCGCCGGCAGATTGAGATCCAAGTCCAATGACATGCTCAAACTGCTTCCGTCTCTCCCTCTCTTCCCCGCCGCCGTCGCTTCCCCCACGTTGTTCTTGTTGCAATTGTGATTGTTACCGCGGCTATTATTACCGTTGCCATAGCCGTTATTATGTCCGTTGGTAGCCGTTACCAAGGACAGACTGGTCGTCGTCGCGGCGGCACTCGCTGCAGCTGCTGCAGCGGGAGAAGCTGCCGCCGCGGCGGCGACGGGAGGCGCCCTGTGCCTCCTCATGTGCCCTCCCAGCGCCTGCCCGGAGTTGAACTCCGCCCCGCAGATTCCGCACTCGTGCACCTTGCTGCCGTTGCTCCCCTTGTGGTGGTTTCCGTACATCGTTGAGTTATAATTCCCACCGGATCGGTGGTTTTGGCTGTTCAATTGAAGGTTGAGGGACGAATTCATGTCCCTGAGACTGTTGATGCGGTTGTCCTCTTCGTCGGAGGACATGTTCACGGTCATGAATCTGCCGTTGAGCATTGTCGCCGTCGTGGCATTGTTGTTGTTGCTGGTGGTGGTGGTGTTGGTGTTCTTGGGCTTCTTGTGGCTGGCCCTGTGTCCGCCGAGCGCCTGAAACGACGGGAACGTCCGGCTGCACGTCCTGCACTCGTACACGTAGTACCCTGCCTTCCCGCCGGCGGCAGGGGCCGTCTCCATGAACCTCCTGCTGGTGAATTTTCCTCCTCCGCCGCCGCCGTGGTTGCTGGCGGCAGCGTTGGGGGAGGAAATGATGGTGATGTTGTTGTTGGAAATGACGGAATGGCCCCGCGCGAGGAGGATGAGGCAATTCGCCATATCCTCCTCTTCCTTGGTGTTTCCTGCCACCGGCGGAATTTGCGACGGTGGCAGGATCGACGACGATGTCGAATTCTCGATGTCGTCGACGACGTCTTCGTCGTCGAAGTTATAATCCTCGTCGTCGTCTGCAGCAGCGTCTTCCAAGACCTCGTCCCCGACGGAGGAATTGGCACTGGCGGCAGGGGCGGTGGAGACCGCGTCGACGGGAGATTGAACTCGCTGCCGCTTGGTCCTCTTCCCCTTGGCGATCTGTGAAATGGGGACGGCGGCAAATGGGGCTTCGTTGGTGTTGATTTTGTCAGGCGGCGGTGGCGCCTCCTCCTTGAGCGCGACCCCTGCCTCCGCCCCTGGCGCCAGCTTCACCTCCACTTGTCCGGCAGCCACCGGAAGCTCCTCCATTGGTGCGACGGCAGCGGCGATGATCAGAACTTCCTCGTTAGAACCTGTGATCTCCATCTCTCTCTATGTGACACCCAAACCAAAATGGAGAGAAAATGGAAGAAGGTGGTGGTGGGGAAGAGTGGAGGGTTCTTGAATTTGTTATGTGTGGAAATCTTCAGTGCATCTCAATACAATGTGACAACATTGACAGAATAATATTTCTGGTTGTGTGACAGGTTTTCCTTTCCCTTTGATTTTTTTCTCTGTGAATTTGATCAAAATTTTGTTGAAGAAATTTGCAAGAGATAGATAGAACACCCTCCACAACCCAATGGAGAAGAGTAACTGATCGATGATAATATAGTGGTATTCGTGATGTGGTATTTTTGGGCGAGTACAACCTGCGTCGTGCACTTCTTTCTTTCCCTATATCTTCTGAGATCGCGATAAATATTTGTGTGAATCTAACACTTCACACTAAAAACAGACAAACGGATCTAATGTAACTGAAAACAAAAAAATGGATGGAGGGAATTGAGTTTATTGGAAATTATGAGAGGAGGAGGTTGTAGCTATGTTGGAGTTTGAAGTTGGTTAATGACACTGTGATTTGCGTTGAGAAATGTTTTCCACTTCACATGAGAGCGAGAAGCAGGTTAAGGTCGTGTTAATTGTTTTCCATCGTTGTTTTAGTGGGCTTGCAAGTTAATCGCTTCACCACTCGTCTCTCAGCATGGAGCTGTCTCGCCGCGTTTTTGTACGTGTTCATGCTTGCATGCATGGAAGTCATGATAATTTGTTTTTTTTTCTTTATCTATTTACATTTCTATTCCTAGTATATAGCAAAACTGAAAATTGAATTTCTATTCCTAGTATATAGCAATGCAAGTGGATTCATTTCGAATTTCTCCCATTCCTAGTATATAGCGAAAGGAAAAGTATGTCAGCATTTCCAAACTTGAATTTATAGTGTCTAGTTATATAGTTTATTCTAGGGTTATAGGTATAATATGTCCCTTTACTATGTAGTTTTATCAAATATGTCCCTTTACTATTTTTTACATCAAACATGCCCTTGTACTTTGGAAAAATGATTAAACATGCCCTTCTGTTAAAATTTTCATTAAAAAAATCGTCAATCATGGTTGAACCGAGATGTAGACGACCCGACATCGGTAAATGAGAGAGAAAATGTCTGTTTTGTCCCCCATTTTATTTTTCTAGGTCTCGTTAAAGTGAAATTATTAGAGGTATTTGGCTCTACAAAAGAACCCAACAATTCTAAAGTGAAATTACCAGGGATAATTTAGACATTTGTGTCGCCCAAACCAAGGTACGACCGTGGTTGACTGTTTTTGGATGAAAATATTAACAGAAGGGCATGTTTGATCATTTTTCTAAAGTATAGGGGCATGTTTGATGTAAAAAATAGTACAGGGGCATGTTTGATAAATCGAATAATAGAGAGGCATATTATACCTATAACCCTTTATTCTAATGTCAATGCATGGTCATGGTTACTTACTGCCTCTTCATATTATATATCTAGAGTCTTTTGGTACCCAGTGAAAGTGAATTTAGGGTAGGTTATGCTCTTAATAAGATGATGTTATTGAAATGTGGTAATATACTCTAATAGTCTAATTCTACTTGTTATTTGTAATCTAGACCAAATTTGTAAACACAAAACTCTAAAATCAATTTAATTGGAAGTAGTAATCACGATCTTATTTTTGAAAACACATCCAACTGTATCATTAGTTAGTATATATAAAGTGCAAGTATGCTTAAGGGGTATGTGAGATGTGGGAGGGTGTACCGTAGGACCACCTAATACTTACCTTAAAAATTATTTTTTCTTGTAATGTACGTTTTTCTAATTGTCGATTAGACAAGTTTCCCCCTTTCATTAGGACTCACCTTAAATGAGTTTTTTTTCCTTCTTCTCACGTATAAGTTTTTTTTTACTTTTTAACCCACGTTTTTCTAGCTGTCGATTAGACAAGTTTCCCTCTTTCGTTAGGACTTACCCTAATTGAGTTCTTTTTTCCTTTTCATGTATGAGTTTTTTTCTTTTTCTTTTTAACCCACGTTTTCCCAGTTGTTGATTAGGAAAGTTTCTTCTTTCACTAGGACTTATGTTAAAGGTTTTTTTTTTCTTCTCGCATATTTTTTGCCGTAGATTCATGACTAATTAAATGTTATACTTAGTTTCAAGTTTTACATGTCATTAGTCATTAATCAGTGTATGGACTTTGCTATGACTAGGAGAAATAAGTTTATTGGTACCTCAAATGCTAAATATCGACTAAATCAATCTCAATATAAAATAGTTTGATATGATGTTAGTATAACAGCTTATACCCCAAGCATACAAACTAGGTTAGAAGGGGCAAGTGTAACACAACAAATCTTTTGGCGCAAAAGCAGCAAGGTAAACAAAGAGTTATATATCAAATACTAAATTAAATAACGTCATATTACAAACAATAATAAGGTTGTTGGAATTGAACATGAGATATTGAAAACTTCCTCTTTGTGTATATAAATACTGGGGTATTATGTTCAATTGACTAAACTTGTACTTCCCTATTATTAAATAACTCATAATTTTCTAAATCCAAATTTAGTTTCACTTTAATCTTTCCTCAATACAACTAAATAATTTATTTTTCTAAAATATTTCATCATAAACATAAACATCAGTTAATAAGAATTAGTCATTTATTACAATCATATGTACAAAACTTATACTTCAATATTATTAAATCACTCATAATTCTCTAAATCTCAATTTAGTTTAACTATACTTACTCATCAATACAACTAAACAATTCATTCTTCTAAGATAGAGCATACACACAAGTCAATAAGAATTAGTCATTTCTTACAATCATATAGTTAATTATACATTTGGTTATTAAGGATGAACCGTGTCCTTCATTTATTTGAGAGGGTTTTCAGGCTTAGTGAGTTAAGGGAAGGTTTATTGTATCATGTTAAAATTTTTGGGAATGCTCGATATCTTGGTATATATCAATTCCAATTGCATATCTAGAATATTGAATACTACTTAAAAATCCATGTCAATCACAAACCAAAAAAATTAACTCAGTAATCGATAATACCAAATAATGATAAATTTTGTGTAGTATTTGATGGATCCCAAACAGTTAAACCAAACTTCCACCCCTAGTCTGGAACAATATTTTATATATGACAATCCTTGGGTGTTGGTCACTGACTTTCCAAGTAATGATTAATTACTAAATCAACTTAAATCGCTACTAATTAAATAGTGATAAAACTAATATGCACATGAACATGGTTACATGGAATAATTAAGTATTTTCATCCCTTAATGAGATTTAATATGCCCAGTAACTTTAGATTACCCCTAACCAACCACTGTCAAAGTAAAAAGACACTACAAATGAATTAAAGTAGCTAAATTAGACTGATCACTATTCACACGACCTCACGCCAGAACTTCATGTTATACTTCATTAGTATGTTTTGTTATGGCCAAATCAATTATGGTATGTTCGTTGTCCAAGTTTAAAGGTCATTACATATAGAAATTTACACACACACAATGACTTACCACCTAACTGTATGTTAAGTATCTTTTTCAAAATAAAAACTATTAGTTAAGTATCATTTGATTTGGTTCAATCGAGATTGGATGACCATCATTACTTGATTTCGTTATTATAGATTTTGTAATGTGTGTCCAAAAATTTGGAAATTTTTTTTAATAAAAAACTATATTTGTATCCCAAAGGTTAACGATTTTGAAAAGTTTATTTCATGTTCTAATATCACTAACCTTCATTTAAATTAAAGTTTTTTTCAATTCTAATTGACATATACATTTTTAGATAAACCGCAGCAAAGCGCGCACCAATTATCTAGTATTACAAAAAACCGCTCAACATATACAATACCCCAAATTCACTAGGGTTGTTCTCCATACATATATAAGCTTAGTTTGGCCCTGCGGTAGCTTTTGCAGAAGCAGCTTCTGCTTGGAGCTTTTAGATAAGTACTTAAAAAAAAACAGTTGAGTGTTTGGCTGTAAAACTATTAGAAGTGCTTTTTAATATGAAAGATTGTGTAAAATGACTATAAAGGACTTATAATATAAAATATGAATAACTAAACAATAAAAAGTAAACAAAATGGATCTTGTTAGATTTCTTTTTATATTAAATAATATGATTGTATAATTTATTTTATTTTTAAAATGATATAAATGAAGGAAAATTATATTTTCTGAAATAAAATTAAAATATGGTAAAGATAATCTTGTATTTTCAAAACAGCTTTTCGCAGAAGCTCCAAATCGGAGCTTCTGCTTTTAAAAGCGGTATACAAAAGCGCTTTTCGGCTTTTCAAAAGCCGAGCTTTTACAGGTGTTTGACCCTGCTTCAGCTTTTGAAGTCTAAAAGCACTTTTAAAAGCTGGGCCAAACATAGGGATAGTATTTTATTCTAGGCAATGTTCCACCATTTTATTTGACTAGAGCTTTATTTTTCTCAAAGTTTTTTCTTAACAAATGTGGTTATTGCACATTTTACTTTTCAATAGGATGGCCATCAGCTAAAACCTAGCCTACTATTTAACAAACAACCACTTGCTCAAACCAGCTCTGAATACCATGTCATAAAACAATTGGTCACGGTAACTGGAGTTGATACAAAAATGTTAGTTATGTACTTTATATCACTCTCTTACATACCCCCAAACGAAAGTCAACCCGCCGGATTGAAGTTTGCACATGTTTATCATATTTTGTGTTTAAATCAACGGTTACTTTTGGGGCCATTGAGATTCGAACACACGATATTTGGTCAAACTAACTATGATATCATGTTAAAATCAACTAATTCCAATAACTCGAATTAACGAGTGAGAACGGATTATTGACAAGAAAACCACTCAACCACTCAAAGAGTCAGAGAATATGGCTCAAGATCAACCTGGTCTAGCATTTCTGAGACACTACTACGTAATTAAGCGCGTTAAAAACAGACATTTAAACCGTACATTACATCTCCATTAGCTGTCTCAAACTATTACTTGATAAAGAAAGAAGAGAAGAAAAGGAGACGCAACAGTGAAGAGAAAGTGCAGTTGGAATCCTGATTGGAGGGTTGCTAATGCTTTACTTATCCAGTAAAAAATCATGGGTGCATATGAGAATAAGATGATAAACCAAAGCGTGTGGGTCCAAAGAATCGGTGAATCTTATTTCCAGATATCAATTCACAGGCATGTGATCTGCATAATTGTGTAGTTAGTTGATAATGATATGGCTTTATATTCATTCCTTCATTGAAAGTGAAAACTACCGTCACTAATCAAACCACTTTCTTATTAATTTCATTATTAACAAACACATTCACGCCATACTCTAAATTTAAGATAAACGTAGATGCATCATGCATTTGACAACCTATATTTGATCTTTGTAACTAGTATTGTGGGGACAAGGACGACTATTTCATTAAGGTGTTAAAACGTCGATCTAAGAGGTTGAACGACCGTCCCTAACTAGAGTTGAATGGAAGGGGATATAATTTGGTCGCAAACCGATTTGTGGATCCCTCAAGGTAGTTCTACAAGCATAATTTTCGTAACTTCACCTCATCTCATCGAGCATGCAAACCAGTGAAACCACACACATCCAACTTGCATTCACGCAATTGTGATTCACCAGATGCTCACATTGGACTGGACAATATGTTGTATTTATAATTTTAGAATATTATTCGCTATAAACAACCCGACCATCCGTCAAAGACACGACTTGCCGACTTTTTGACCGTGACGTTATTGATCCGTAGCACTTTTATCTGGTGTATTAGATGAAGTTAATCGATTCTCTAATTAAATTAAATCAATAATGTGCTAATAATAGTATCTTAATCTCCCAAATGGGTATAGATTTCTCATTGACTTGTTTGTTTCCATTTTAGTGGCCCAAAAGGCAAACCACTGAAAACGACCCCCTCCGCCCCACCCGGTCCGTCTCTTCCTCATCCACTTTATGACCCAACCAAACCGAAACAAAGAAAAGAAAGAAGGGAAAAGAAATTCCACGGCGAGTTCGCTTTTATGCTTTGCAATCTGAAGATTCACAGATTTTTGGTTTGGCCAAGAACAAAAGAGATGCAGTTCTAATGGCAGACAAAACTCCATAGATGGTAGGTGGTTACTCCATGGATGACCCAAATAAAGGGTAAGAAAAAAGACTTTGAAATCATGATAACAAAATATCTCTACTAGGCAAAGTTTCTTCCATGATTGCTCTTCATGGTTGGTCATACTCACCATCATCCCATACAACAAAAACAACATCTTTTGCTTTAATGGAGAATAAGGTTGTAAAATCAGAGGCTAGACTAGACTTAGTGTACAGATCCTTTTGTCTAATGTTACACTTGTGACTAACAATTGACCGGAGATTTGGGTCAATGGAGAATTTCAATCTTGTGGTACTTCTTGTCAGGGGAAGCAGAGTCGGAGTCGTAGAGCTGATCAATGCTCCTCTTGACGCCCAAAGGACTGCTCGCACTGTTGAAAGATTCCTGGTGGATCAATCTGGCTGCAGGGGAAGATGAAGACAAGGAAGAAGCAACGGTAACGGGCGGGATCTCGACTGCATCGAGCTGCGGCGGTGGATGCTGCCACTGAGGCAGAGCACCAGCCAGCAGAAGCGTCTGCAGCAACGGCCCTGCCTCCTTCACAGCCTGCAGCAGCTTCCCTTTCTCCGGCAACGTCCTGTCCGCCGCCAGTTCCTCCACCACAGAGCCACGGTGGTGGTGGGTTTCCAATTGCTCATTAGGACTAGTAGACGTGCTTGAAAATACAGGGGCAGTGGCCGCCGCGGCGGCGGTGGAAAGCAGTACAGATGGTGGTGATTGCTCCTCTGCCTCTTTGTGTTCAAGCATTAGCCTCACGCATTGCAGCCGGGCATCGTTCCTCTCTTTGGTGGTGCTGCTCAAGAGCTCTTTGAGACGGAGGATTTCGAGTTCTCGCTTGGCGATCTCTTCTCTTGCTGACAGAAGTGTGGTCTCCAGCTCTGATGTGCACAGAACATACTGTCTTAACTCCTCCATCACCTGCCAATCGAGTTAGTTAGTTAGTTAGTTAAAACCGCGAAAAGTATGGGTTTCGGACTAGTAGGAAGTCGATCAGTAAGTGAATTACCTCGTCCTGGTAGAAGGATCCCCAGCCCATGGAAGAATGAGGGCTGCAATTTTCCTCCATTTTGGTGTTTAAAAGGGTGAAATGTGCAGAAAGATGGGAGCTTTTTGATGGTGAGAAGGGGAAGGGGAGCTTTGCATTGGGGTTTCTAATTATAGGGAGAGTGGTCAGTGGAAGATGAGTTTCAGTTGAGTTTTTGAGGGTAGGGTTGCTGTTCATCTAGCAGTTTTTTTTTTTTTTTTTTTTTTTTTTGGTTTTGTAATGAGTTTGTTTCTCTTTTCCTACTATGAATGGAAGAAGGAAAAAAAAATGGCGTGCAGTGTGCTACTTGGACAAAATGCACAAAAGGCCAAAACTGTCATGGAGCCAGCCAGCCAACCGGGAAAAACAAAAGGGGAGGGAAATAGAAAAAAAACTCGGAGTAAAAATGTAAAGTCTTTGGGTTTTGGTTGCCGGCATAAGACAGACCGACGATTGGGAGATGACCCATCGAACTGGACTGGACTTCTAATAGTTTGGGTTCGGCCCAACATGAAGTGTGGTGTTCCAACTCATATCATACTTTTACTTATCACAGAACCCTACAACATGAAACATCACATACCATGTTCGACTATCTCATCGTCTCTTCTTCTTACTTTAGATTTGAGAGCCTACAATATACGACCCAACCATCTCAAAATCTATCATAATCCCCCAATAGCAAATTTCATTTTTCTCCAGCTGCACAGTCATAGAGCCAGTCGACCTCATCTCATACAAATACGAAGCAAAAATTATTAAGAAACATGAATTTGAGTTGAAACTTTAGGTGACTAACAAAGGCCAAATTCCTTATTTTAATTATTTTTTAATACTTAATTAAATTCCTATATATCTTATAAATAGAGGATAACTTTAAAATCACGGCCCAAATATCATTGGTTCGAATATTCCATATCAAATTGCAGTGTTGAATATGTAAAACTGATGTATAATTCTTAAATTAGTATTAATTTTTAGACCTACTATTACACAATCGTATTCATATCTTTGTGTAAACTATATGGGACTGGTTCTTTGAATATTTTAGTTCGGCTAACCGTCAAATTTTAAACCTTTTCCTGTTCTGACATTATTGGATCCAACAATCATTAGGAGTTTAATAAGTTGGTTCATTTCACCTTTTTTCAATGTGCTAATGAATTTGTAGGGAAAAGATATGTCTTTATATACACTCCACACAATATATAATACTAAAATGAGAAAATTGTTGTCTCATTTCAAATTTTCTACAACGAAAACGAAAGTAAGAATTATATTTCTGCTTCATAATTATTTTACAGAAACTACAAACTTCCAAAATCCAGAAATTGTTGCTCAAACTAAAAATCAGAGCATCGAAAATCAATATTCGCAAATTTTATTTCATATATCACTTATTTGATAGATTTTTCTCTCTATAAACAAAGTAAAATGAAACAAGTTATAGTCAAATCAACAGCTTTGGCTCGAAGACGATGACCTGCTTCTTCGTGGGAGAAAGAATTACATGCGGTACCGTCAGAAATCTGGAGAGCAAAGACGAAAAGGATACACTACGAGTTCATGAATGAGTACTGTGAAATAGATCATCAAATCACGTGCTTGGGGTTGAATAAAATGATAGGAGGTTAGTTAGATAGCAGATTATATAGAATTTGCCAATTTGGTACATCTACAGGAGATCTTCAGAGTCGGCTTAGGAAACAAAGAATCGAAGGGGAAGAAAAAAGATATAGACTCTTTTATTAACAACTAATTGAGTGCATGGGGGTGGATAAACGATGCATTCATTTCTTTTTTCCTTTTTAAAAAAAATTTAAAAAAGAGCATCGTAAACTTTTTTGGGTTTCTATTAACCTTTTGAAGTTTGTTCTTTTTCGGGTCTAATCAGATTATTTAAAGCTATTATTCTACTAAAATAATTTTATTTTTTCCACGACATTGATGTAATATTTTGACCAAAACTTGTTAGTAAGTTAAATGATATATTAATTAAAATAATATAATATTCACGCTCTTTCGAGGCACTCAAATTATAATTCTTGAAGAGTATACACTCTTACGCTCCCATTCTAGCTCCCGCTACGCGAATTGGTAAGATAAATCCGTCAAGTCAATTCTGTCAACGAAGAGACTACTGGAAGAACTTGCCTTCCATCACATATTGTCTTCCCACGTAAACACCCCCATGCTCAATTTCAACTTGGTCGTTACTTATTAATTCCACTTCTGACACACATCGCCACCATAGGAGTGCGACCTTCATCGCGTTACGAATACATGTTGTTGGAGTGCATTTTAGGAGCTCGAAGGAGGATAGCAGAAAATAGTAGATAGAGAAACAAATGTAGATAGTCCGGTCGAGGAAGAATATTATTCATATGTAGATGAGATTTTATATAATTTATAACTATATATGAACAATATAATAATTTTTTCATATATCCGGGCAAAAGCGAACTAAAACAATTAGACCATTAACCCTCAACCCACTTAATCGACTGGGCCAAAGGGCTAAACCACGTTGACAACCTTTGATAATTGAAATCCATATATTCTAAAAATTTTGGGTTCCAATTTTTATGATTCAGTCAAATCGATCAATAATTGTGGACTTTTCAGAGAGTGGTTGAAATTCAAAAGTCGGTCTTCAATGTTCTTTCATGACAGACAAGTTTTTGTGTTTGATTATTGTTAGGTCGAAGGAAGAGAAAGCGGGACAGATGGAGGATGAGATTGTGGCTATTAATTATTGAGAGTTGCAGATGGAGAAGCTAAGCCATAAAATGGATTGAATTTAATTTGATAATACGTATATACTATATATTACAAGGGCATGTTTGATGTGAAAAATAAAAGGGATAGATTTGAGAAAAATGGATAATAGAGTGACAATTTATGCTATTAACTCCACATGAAAAGTTAAAAATTGTATTGATAGAGTAGAATTTAAGGTTTTATAATGTTGTATTTTCGTAACTTTTGTACGTGCATTAATATCTAACACTTAATAATCTCGACTTATTATTCAATCAAGCCTATACACTAAATTCTAATAAGTTATACAATAAGCATTATGTTTTCGTGTTCTTCCATATTAGAGATTTCTAGGCATAATCTTTTCGTTATTCTCTTGATTTTTTTATATATCTTCAATTCTTACCATTCTAGATTACATATATTTTGTTTCAACTCCAACTTCATATCCGACAATAAAAAGTCCACAAATTTCTTCTAAGATATGAAAAAAATACACAACAGTAAATTAGAAGGACTTGATAAAAAAGTACATATTAACTCATTATCGGTAATGTCATAATTAACAAATACCATAAAGATTACTTTGAAATAATGAAATAACTATTTTAGAAACCTCAACTTATTTAATAACATGAAGAGATTTATCAAAATAAAATAAAATTCATCCGACCAACGAATCGGGTTAATATTTTAAATATAATTATAAATTAACCAATATTAATGATAAAGCGAAACTCATTCGGCCAAAGGCCGAGTAAAAGCTAGTAGTTATATATTGTGGAGTGGATGGGCGTACGTTATTCGTGATATTTAAAGCAATTACCAATATTTATTGGGAGGTTATGGTAATTACATAATTTTTTTGGGTAAAAGCAATTACATATTCTTTAATGGTAATTACATAATTATTTAATGCGTTACACTACTATCATAAGTACCGAGAATATGACAGATATTAATTTATTACACAAATATACTACTATTGAACAAACTTTTTACTGTAATTGACTAAATTCCATTACGAATAATGTGCCGAATCAATTCAGTAAATCAGTCCAATTCTTATATGGTCTCAAACAAGGTTCACGAGTTTAGGTTGTGAAATTTCATGGTACTATTTCGCAATTTGGATTCACACAAAGTCGGAATGATCCATCGCTCTCTGTGCGCTATACTGTGGATGTTGGACAGAATGAAACTAGATATAATGATTTATAAGAATCGCTGGTATGGTTTCAATACAGAAATCTCATATTCGAAACATTCCTCAACGTGCCCTAGGTCTCTTAATTATATGGTGTGTTGCTCTTCGTTTGTTAATGACATTTGGTGCAATAGTATAGAACCACATTTAGATATATGGAACGATTTGAAAGAAACTAAAATATTTGATGCTAACAATTAAGGACATGATCAGTTAATCACATAACTTACTAGAGCGACAAAAGCTTATTTAACTTCTAATTAATTATTTAATCAAACTAACATATGGTGAACTTGACGGATTTTAGTGGATTACATTACAGGCATGAAATATATTAGCCCACCGGCGGTACGATCAAGGCTCACGCGAACGGCCGTTTGGTATAGAGACCCCTTGGAGCTGAGGTTGTCGGCTTGAGCCGCACTCACGATGAGCGTGTAGATCACCCCATTTTTGAACTGGTGGATGCTGCCACTATCAACGTCCACAAGTCTCAACGGATGTTTGAACTCGGTTTTGAAGTTGTGCATAAAAACTGCGTACTCCGCGACCATCCTGATACGAAAGTCGTTTGGGTTCTTTATCGGCTGCCACGTACCGGGCGACGACGTTGCCCTGGCGGTGGAGAGAACGACTGCGACGGTAGTTATAGCCACGAGAAACGTAATGGGCTTCATCGTCTCTTTGGTTGTTTGTAAAATGATTCTTAGTGAGTTTTTTTTTGGGGGGGATGTTTGCTTGGTGTTTTTTCGGATGTGAAGCTAGAGTAAATTGTGGTGTGTATTTATAGGCTATAGTGAACGATTTGATTCTCTATATCGTTTTTTCGTTTTCTAGGTTTTGTGGTAAAGTTGTCCGTTTTTAGAGTCACGTATCCCGTCGTTTTAGATGGTGAGACAGGTGAGTATATCTTTTTTTGCTACTTTTATGCTTAACTAGCCTAATGACTCTCCTCGTTTACCGATTATTTGTTATATGCATTCACTGGTTACAGTTGACATGAATTGGATCATGACTACATAATCAAAAGCCTACTAAAACTTGACTATAAAATAAAACAACACCAACTCTAAACAAAAAATCTAAAGAGTTTTGTGTACCACTCTCTAAGAAGCTCAATTAACGACACGAGAAACTATTCTAAAAATCTATGTTGGAAGGAAAGGATCGGAGGAGTCCCGTCACGTACATTCATGCTAGATCGGACCACCCACGGCGTCAGAACAAACACCCTTTTGAAGCTGGCTAGGAGGAGGGCAAGTATGGATTGAGTAGGGTGCTAATCATGGGCGGAGCCAACTTGTCGGCAGGAGGGGCTAGGGGTAGAAAATATTTCACTATAAATTTAACTAGTTTTTTGGCCCGCGCTTCACAGTGGTGAGATTTATGTAATATACTTGCTTAACTAAAATATATGAAATAACTACCCTCCGTTTTACGTAATGTATTTATAATTTAGTTTATGTAATGTGTGGTCTAATAATAAAATTAAATTAGAAAAGTTATCATATTTATTATGTAAAATTAACTTACCTTATGGAATAATATCAAATTAGAAAAGGTATCATATTCTACTAATATATATTATGTAAAAGTTAACTTACCTTATGGAATCTTTTTGTAATGCAAATTGATGAGATATTGAATATCGTAGTTAATAATAAAGAAATTTTAATAAATAATTAGAGAATTAAATTAAGAAGAGTATCACATTTGATTAAACTATTATGCAAAATATAACTAAGCTTATAAAACTTTTGTGTAATGAAAATTGATGAGATAATCAACCTTAAAATATCATTACAATTTATATTACGAAAGACTTGCATAATAATTTTTAATTGATACATAAGAAACGATTATCCATCGATAAGTTTTATGCAATGACTTAATCATTATGAAAGTCATTCCCTATTGTGTTTTTCTTAATTGATACATAAGAGATAACTATCTCTCCATAAGTTGTACGTAATGTCTTAACCCCTACAAAATTCACACCCTATTATGTTTTGTTTAATTCATACATAAAAAGATTAATGCTTAAAAAATGTCTCTCTCCGTATGTGTTACATAAGTCTTAATCATTACGAAAGTCACACCATATTATGTTTTGTTTAAGTTGATACATTAAAAATAACTATTACTCTATAATTTTGATATGATATAATATACATGACTTTTTATAGCACGGTGTTACGTAAATATTTCGTAATGTGCGGGGTAATAATAAAATCAAATTATAAAAATTATTGCATTTTGTTATACCACTACGTAGAAGACACCTTTATGTGTAATTTCTTCATATGTTACGTGACTTTTTATAGTACGGTGCTACGTATATATTTCTTAATGTGCGGTCTAATAATAAAATCAAACTATAAAAAGTATCGCATTTTTTTGACCACTACGTAAAGGACACCTTTATGTGTAATTCCTCATATGTTATGTGACTTTTTATAGCACGGTGTTACGTAAATATTTCGTAATGTGCGGTCTAATAATAAAATCAAATTATAAAACGTATCACATTTTGTTAGATCACTACTTAGAAGCGCCCTTTATGTGTAACTCTTCATATGTTACGTGGCTTTTTATAGCACGGTGTTACGTAACTATTTCATAATGTGCGGTCTAATAATAAAATCAAATTATAAAAGTATCGCATTTTGTTAGACCACTACGTAGAAGACACCTTTATGCGTAATTTCTCATATGTTACGTGACTTTTTATAGCACGGTGTTACGTAAATATTTTCTAATGTGCGTCTAATAATAAAATCAAATTATAAAAGTATCGCATTTTGTTAGGCCACTACGTAGAAGACACCTTTATGTGTAATTCCTCATATGTTACTTGACTTTTTATAGCACAGTGTTGCGTAAATATTTTCTAATGTGCGTCTAATAATAAAATCAAATTATAAAAAAGTATCGCATTTTGTTAGACCACTACATATAAGACCCCTTTATGTGTAACTTTTCATATGTTACGTGACTTCTTATAGCTGGTGACACGTAAATATTTTGTAATGTGCGGTCTAATAATAAAATCAAATTATAGAAAGTATAGCATTTTGTCAGACCACTATGTAGAAGACCCCTTTATGTGTAATTTCTCATATGTTTGTGCATGCTACCCCCGTAGCTAATAATTTCGATTAAAAAAACTAAAATAAATGTAATGAACAATGTTTGGCGAAAGAATTGAGGGGTGGGAGTTTTTTTCCGTAAGGAACAGTAACATTGACTTGTGCTTTTAATTAATGATGATTGGATTGAATATGATTTTAACCATACCAAACCGAAACAAATTTGGTCAATTCGATTTTAACTCATAAACCGGGATCACTCAGCGGACTGGCACCCCAAAACGCTACCGTTTTGATCAAATTAAATTAAAAAAATAATGAAAACAAATACAAACTGGGTGTTTTATATAATCTTTTAGCTCCATTCCTTATAATTTTCTGGGACATCTTTCATATCATCTTGTTTTATGGGCCCTTGCATTCATGTTCTTATTTTTGTCCAAGAACCTGTAAATGAGTTTTGTGAGAAGGAATGCTAATGGAGTTGCTCATCGTGAGTTTGTATAGTTAATTATCTGTGTTAATTACTTAATTGTAATATCGTTGTACGATACTGTAATTGGATTAGTTTTCGTTGTATTGTTTAGGTGTCCGTGTCTCATGCTTTCCCCATATCTCCAACCTTAACATACACGAAAAGAGGCATACAACAGTACATCAATAGGAGAAGAAAATGACACAAACCAATACAAATCTCTGTTTTATTCATTGAGCAACAGGCTCTGTGAAGGGTACACAAAAAAGGAGAGCCTAGTTAATCAATAACAACAAACCACCGTTATACACCATTTTATCAAAAAATGGGTATTAGTGATTATATTCTTGTCGTAGTTTCTAGGCATCATGTCAATATGCATTGCAGAATGAAATGCAGCCCGGGCACTCATTCAAGCATTTGGCAATACACCCTTCTTGATCTGCTGAAACATAGCATACAAGGAGCGGGCCAATCAAAATGGACTATGATAAGAAATTGTATCCCCGTCACATATTGTACAACCATAATAAACAGAGTCATGTCGTATTGTATAACCAGTGTCGGTGTATGTCAATACAGCCCTAGCGTACACATTTCGTATTCACCCATTATGAATTATTATTATTTTGCATACATCTTATTTAGGTTTTTTCACATGAAAATCAATCCATAATTTTGAAGGTTCTACAAACTCACACGACATTCATTGTGTTCATGAATTGATGGCACTATATAATACAAGTCATATTGAATTGTGGATCAAAATAAATCGCGTCAATATATCGGTCAAGCGTCGTTGATTATGACTTGATCTATATTTAGACCGAATCGAAATGCACAAAGAAATTCTCAAACAATTGTTACACCTCTCTATAGACACCATTTGCTTAATCATTTCAATTCGTACACTCATCAACCCCCGCAAAATAGTAGTACAACTGTTGTTATTGATTGATACAACCCAAATGAAACTCAATTGTTTTCTTTGGTAAAAAATCAAAATTAGATGTGTTCATTGTAATATTGCTGTACGGTTCTGTAATTGGATTAGTTCATTGTATCGTTTAGGTGTCTTGAGGGAAAAAAAACATATCTCCAACCTCAACATACACAAAAAATGCATATAACAGGAGAAGAAAATGACACAAACCAATACAAATATTTGTTTAATTCATTGAACAACAAGCTCTGTGAAGGGTACACAAAAAAAAGAGCTTTTTTTTAGGAAAAAATAGATAGCCTAGTCAATCAATAATAACAAACCACCGTTATACACCATTTTATAAAAAATGGTTATTAGTGATTGTTGGACTCGAACTTTTTATGATGATTAATTATATTATTGTCGTAGTTTCTCGGTATCATGGCAATCCGCATTGCATACTTCAAAGCAGCGCGGGTACTCTTCCAAACATTTGGCAATACATTCTGCTCGATCTGCCGAAACCACTTATTGTTGGTTCGTCATCGAACCCAAAATCACGAACAACACCATGATGATGACGCCCATATTCTTCATGGCCTCCTTTTTTTTCAATGTATCTAACTGTCTTTTGTGTAAATAAAGTATTTGGTGTTGTGGCAAGCTAGCATCTACAATTCCCCTTTTATAGTGCAGTTTCGAGGGAACAATGTTAATAAAAAGATAATGGAGAATTTATGTGAAATGCTGTAGAGTTTTGTATATTTTTCTCCATTTCAAATTTCTTGCAATGAGAGTGAAAGTAGGAAGGATATTTTTGGCTTTACAAATAAATTATTTATTTCATAGAAAAATATCTACATCAAGATTTAAACACGAGTCTCTTCAAATAAAGACAACAATCACAACCAGTTTTAATAAACAAATATGTTGATTTCTTTTTTATACAAAATATCCTCCAATAATATGTGGTAAAGTTTTGTGTACTTGTCTCCATTTCAAATTTCATGCAACGAGAGTGAAAGTAGGAATGACATTTTTGTTTTTACACATAAATTATTATTTCATAAAAAATATCTACATTAAGATTTGAACCCGGATCTCTTCAAATAAAGACAACAATCACAACCAGTTACACCAAACATATTTGTTGATTCCTTTTTTATACAAAACATAGACGAAGTTAAACTCTGAAAATCAGAGAACTTTTTCATCATGATTAGCAAGCCCACTAAGTCTACCGTATGTATTTTTATCGTGCTTGATACTTCTATTTTCATACTAGAGTTTCATGTAATTTTCTCAATTTTAAATTTATGCTCTCTCCTTAATTTTTGCTAAAGGTAAATTGATAATTGGCTAACATAGAAGAAACTAATTATGTTAATTTGTATTGTATCCTTGCATTTTTCAATTTAAATTTTGTTCTTTTTTATCTTTGTTCTTTTCTCTTTCTAACTTCCTCTGAAATTTTGTCCATCGTGCAATAGTTTGCGCCCCTTTCATTTCCCAGTACAAGGCTACTATTGAAAATCAATCTTCAAGTATCTTTTGGCACTATGGTTTTATTGTTTGGGATTTAGGCTGGTCGAGTAGAAGATTTCAACTCCAATATCAATCCATGACGAATAGAATGAAGTTCATCAATAAATGGAGTTGCAAAAGGAGGATTAGAAATTGAATTTTTGGTTGAATCGTATGCCTCTTGAGATAAAAATTTGGTGGTACAACGGAGAGTGATGGCTATTGGATCTTTAGGTTTATGGTTTTTGAAATTGTCTTTCTATCTTAATGAGGAATCATTGATTGATTTATCAAAGTAGGTCGATTCTTTATTCAGCCTACTGAAACTAATAGATAAAGAGTGTCTAATTTTGCGCCTTATTACTTTGATAGAGTCTATTCGTATATTGGAGGCAAAGCAGTCAAAATCAGGATTTTACGTAAAATAAAAAATGAGGGTAAAATCGAATCGTAAAATCGTAGGACTTTAAGGTCCATATAAAAATGAAGACAGAATAATATTAGTAAGAAAAATCATGAATAACACAAAAGCACATAACACTTACAAGGATAATTTCTCAATGTTAATGTTAAGAGGTGATGAATCGATGATGATTAATATGTTGATGTGAATTGATTATAGTCGATGGTGGTTAGTGTGAGAGAACTAGATGATGTTGGTGGACGAGAAGAAAAAGAGGCGTAATTTTGTAAATTATGGGGAATATAAGTAAAATTGACTCAAAGATTTGAATCGTAAAATCGTAAGATTTTTAAAAAATTTAGAATTTAAATCGTGAATAGTGTAGGATTTTTATGTCCATAGATTTATAGTGAAATCAGAATCGGAATAGTTAAGTAAAATCGTAAAAGCGTAGGATTTTAGGATTTAAATCGGGATTTTGACTACTCTGATTGGAGGTAACCCTAATTTTTTTCGTTTGCTCTCAAGTTGTGATGGTCCCCTCTTAGCTGAGTTCTTAGTATATAGTTGACTTAAATCAACAACTCTCAATTTCTTTATGATTAGTGACACATTGTTCCTAAAAGAAGAGCATTGAACCCTTTATATACGATTGTGAGGTTTAATATTTTGTTTCAAACTATCTATGGGTCGTGTGGAAATTCCAGTGAGCTTTTATACTCTATCTTTCTTGACAATCAATCAACCAATAGCATTTAACGAGGACTTAATTATCATTATGAAAACGGGATCATTGATACCTTTTTATATTTTATATTCTTAAATGATTATGATATTTCTCCGATGTTTTACCTATATATTCTTTCTTTATGTATCATCACGATCGAAAGATTATCAATAAAATTAAATGGGGTGATAGAATTAAAAGTAACATAAAATATAAATAATCAAATATGAGCATTCCGGCCAACAGGTCGGGTTATAAGCTAGTATCAAATATGGATGTTGACTTCTTGCTCCATCTCTAGCTAGCTCTGTTGGTTTGGTTTCGTCGCGCGCGATAGGGGTGGGCAACCGGTTCGGTAAATCCGAACCGATTAAACCGAAATAATGCTATTCGCTTCGAAATTCGGAAGGGAAATATGGATATTTCGGAAATCAGGGTTCTTCCAACCAAACCGAATTTTCGACCGAAAAACCGAAATACTATAATTGCAAGCTCCAAATGGTGGATTTTTATGTTTGTAGTTGTTTTTAGACTTAAATATTTGACATGTTTTATGACTTATGTATGTTTGATTTTATCATTGATGTTTGATGATGCATATAATTGCATACTTATTGTTTATATTAGGGGTGCAAAATAATTTAAAAGGGACAAAATAAGAGTAGCCTCACAAATTCGGTTATGTGTGAAAAACGGAACCGAACCGAATTATAATTCGGCTTAAACCGATCGAATCGAATATAATTCGGTTCGAATTCAGTTTGAGGTTTGGGAGAATTCAAGGACCCGGAATTCATAATTTTGATTATGTTGAAACCGAACCGGCCGAATGTTCTCCCTAGCGCGCTATATCCATGAAAAAATACGAACTCCGTTCACGTTGTTGTGACTTATTTTCACTGTGAATTGCTTACGGTGATGTGAAATCCTTATCAATATACAAAGTCAGTTTTTAGACTCCAACTTCTTTTATAGTGAAAGCTGGAAAGTATACGAGTTATATAGATAAGGTACCATTCATTTTGTTGATTGATAATGAGGAACACAATGCTCTCCCTTCACCTCCTTCTTCATGATTCTTCAATGCCAGTAAAATGTGCTTACTAACCCTCCTTCCCTAGCCAGTTTCATTTCTGACCCAAACTTAACCCTGTCAATTTTCATTTCTAAATTACACTTTCAGAAACGCTCGAAACAATATTATTCTACTTAAATGAACGAGATGCACAAATTCTTCCTTCACAATGCCACTTCACTCTGCTTCACTTATCCTATGCAACTTCACTTTTCCCTTTCCCCTGCCCTTCTTTGTTGACCTGCCTGAACCATTTCTTCATACTCTAATTGTCACAGGGTTGATAGTTATGTCAGTTAGGTTATTTGCTACGTTATTCCTAGTAGCGTGCAAGTAGAGTTTCAGTTGGTGTAGCACATTTAAATATAGATTATACAACCTTCGGCTCGGTAAAACGGTAGAGTTTCTTCCAAGCACATTTTATCATAAAGTGAAGGGTTATAGGTATAATATGCCCCTCTACTATGACGTTTTATCAAACATGCCCCTCTACTATTTTTTACATCAAACATGCCCCTGTACTTTGTAAAAATGATCAAACATGCCCTTTTGTTAAAATTTTCATCTAAAAACCGTTAACCAAGGCCGAATTATAGTTTGGGCGACACAAATGACTAAAATATCCCTAATAAATTCACTTTAGAATTTTTTTGATTCTTTTGTATAATCAAATCATTCAAATAATTTCACTTCGAGAAGACCCAGGGAAATAAAACAGGGGACAAAACTGACATTTTCCCTCCCATTTGTCGATGTCAGGTCGTCTAAATCTCAATTCAACCATGATTGACGATTTTTTCAATCGAAATTTTAACAGAAGGGCAAATTTGATAATTTTTTCAAAGTACAGGGGCATATTTGATGTAAAAAATAGTAGAGGGGCATGTTTGATAAAACGTTATAGTAGAGGAGCATATTATACTTATAACCCTAATGTGAAACACATTCAATGTAGGTTTATTAGTTCATTGGACACTTCTTATCGAGGACTTTTGGCACGATCCGACCCTCACTCCTATTTCTATGTGTGTTGGCTTTGACAAGGGAAAAAATTAAACTCTCGACGGAACCAAATCTACATCTACCAACTTTCGTACACTTTTTTCGTGTGATATTATTATCTCAATACCTAAGCCGCAGGTGTGAACTCATCCTACCACATATGCATTACTCAGTCCTCAAAAGAATCTCTTAATTCTTCAACCAATTCTTTGTAGTGATGGCAATTTGAACATATCTGCGATGGGGCGGGTATTACGCGACTCACAGCAACCTGGGGCGGAGCATGGGTATCTACTTCCGTCTCGCCCTGTCCCGCTCCGTTCTAGACCCATTTTTTTCTCAATTTTTAAAAGTATCTATACATATTTCTCCTATTTTAACTTTTATTCAACTAGTTAGAGTCGATATTTCAACTTGTTAGACTCAATTACCCATTTTATTATCAACATTTTTCTTTCATAAAATGTTTTTCCCTTTAGTTTATGGTAAAAAGTAAAATTTATGTGTATATTTTCCAAATAACATGTAAAAGTGGGTTGACCCAACCCGCGTGGGTTTTACTCGCCCCAACCCGTAGTAACGTGGGACGGGGCATGGGAATTTAGGTACCCGTCCCGCTCCATTGCCATCACTAATTCTTTGGAATTAAAATAAAATCCTTCTACTAAAAAAAGTTTTTCTCCGAATAAAAAAAATCTCTCCTTTTCAATTAATTAAATGAAATATTATATATTATTAATTGTCTGCAATAGTTATTTTCTTCTTCTACCGGAATAATTGAGTTTCAAGGTAAGAATGTGGGTCGTGAGTCGTGACAGTATTGCTGCTATAGCTATTAGCTCTTCCCTCTCCCCCAACGGCAGAAAACAGAATTATACTCAGTCACAGAGAAGAGAGATCCGTTTTCTCTCTCTGTATTTTTCTTTGCCTCTTTCCATGGCTACACGGCTTGTCCCTTCCACAACCGCACTTCCTTCTTCTCCTTCTAATTGAAATAAACCCAGGAAAAACCCTGCTCAGAAAGTTAAATCCATTCTTATAGAGACTAATTCCACCCCAGTATTTTAATGGTGCGCTTTTGTTTTATTACATAAAAGCCCACCACCACATTTCCCCAAAATTTGCAGCTTTTCTTTCCCCCAGATTTGTTGTCATCTGGCTGGCATAAGTGCATTACAACAGCAGCAGGACATCCCTCCTTCCCTCGCTGCATTCTACTGAGAAGCAAGCAGTACGCAGCCAGGAAGGGAAAAAGGGGGGAAAACAACAAAATCCCTCTCCTCCTCCCCTTTCTAACCCACTTCCATGGCTGCTGCAAGTATGATGCTTCCCATTAGCATCTGCATTCTCTTCCTCCGCTTCTTCTCTTCCAGTTCTCTCCTTGTCAATGCCGCCACTTCCCAGTTCTCCAATCTCACTCTGAAGCACCAGCACCCCTACCCAGATTCTATCGCTCAAGATGTGCAGAGGTAACTCTTGATTTCCTCTCTTCTGGATTTGCATTATTGGAGGGTTTCGAGTTTGGTATTGTTCGAGCTGAGTAGTTTGCAGAGGTGGGGTTTTTTTTAGCTCAAAATCGATTCCTGCTTGAATGTGTTCAGAAAAATGCAATCTTTTCGATGATTTCACCATTAGTAGTCCTCTCATTCGGATTGGGAACCATTTTGATTCCAGGGATTGAGGGTATCAGATCGCATTTTCCTCACTCACTGTCCGCCATTGCCAAACAACTGTCAAAATCCCCATTTGGGTCCCTTCCCCCAAAGAAAAAAATCCCAGCTTTTCAATTGCCAGCATTCGTCCCTTTCCTTCCCTACTACCCTCTTCAGTCTTCTCCTTTTTTTTTTTTTTTTTTTTTTTTTTTCTGGTGTCAAGTTTTAACCGCAGACGTAGCTGTTTCCCACTTACATTGTCCATACTCAAGTTGCAACTTGCATTATTGCATCCCAAAATTCCTTTTCCCCTCCCGGCCTCCCCTCTGTTTCCGTTTCCTTTTCAATAATTATTGGTAACTTTTTTACAGGCAGGTCAATGAATCGCTATCGAGGAGGCTACTCTTGTCCACACAGGAAAAGGACCTCTGTCAAACGGGCAACCCGATCGACGACTGCTGGCGGTGCGACCCGAACTGGGCCCAAAACCGGCAGCGCCTCGCCGACTGCGGAATCGGGTTCGGCCGGGGAGCACTCGGCGGCCGCGGCGGGCAGATCTACGTCGTCACCGACTCCTCCGATCACGACCCGGCCAACCCGACCCCTGGAACACTCCGGTACGGCGCGATCCAGGACGCGCCCCTCTGGATCGTCTTCGCCTCCGACATGACGATCAAGCTGAAGCACGAATTGATGTTCAACAGCTACAAGACCGTCGACGGCAGGGGAGCCAGCGTCCACATCACCGGCAACGGCTGCCTGACCCTCCAGTACGTCAGCCACGTCATCGTACACAACATTCGGATCTTCAATTGCAAGCCGTCGGGCAACACCAACGTCGCAGCGTCCCCGACGCACGTCGGGTACAGGGGGAGATCCGACGGCGACGGGATCTCCCTGTTCGGCGCGCAGAACGTCTGGATCGACCACTGCACGCTGTCGTCGTGCACCGACGGCCTGATCGACGCCATCATGGGGTCGACGGGGATCACGATCTCGAACAATTACTTCTCCCACCACAACGAGGTGATGCTGATGGGCCACGACGACAAGTACGCGCTCGACGACGCGATGCAGGTCACCATCGCGTTCAATCGGTTCGGCGAGGCGCTGGTGCAGCGGATGCCCCGGTGCCGGCGAGGGTACATACACGTCGTCAACAATGATTTCACTTACTGGCAGATGTATGCAATCGGCGGTAGCGCCAGCCCGACGATTAACAGTCAGGGGAATCGGTATATCGCCCCCGCCGATGCCGACGCAAAAGAGGTAAAGGGATTTCTCGGCAATCCCTCTAGTTCTAAATTCTAATTAGGGTTTGGCGGTGGCGCGTGGTAGGGGTAGTGTAGTAATTTCCGCTGATTAGTTAATTTTTTGTTTGGGATTTTTGCAGGTGACGAAGCGCGTGGATACAAGCGAGGATTGGACAAACTGGAACTGGAGGACGGACGGGGACATAATGGTAAATGGAGCGTTCTTCGTACCGTCGGGAGCGGGGATGAGCGTTCAGTATGAAAAGGCTTCGAGTTTGGACCCGAAGTCGGCTGGGCTTGTGGACCAGCTCACCTTAAACGCCGGCGTACTGAGTGGGCCCAGGTAATTTTGCTCACTTATTTTTTGTACTTTGGTCAATTAGGTCCCTATACTTTTACCGCTTTCGTCAATTCAGTCCATAGTTGTGTTTTTCGGTCGTCGGATTGGGATATCTTCGCGTTCGATTTGGCGAATGAAGGTTCGAGTTAGCGCGGTTAGAGGGATTAAAGAGCAATTAAGTGAATGATGAAAGTTTAGGAACATAATAATGGTTAGTGGTTAGATTGGCATGGTGCAGAACAGGATGGCAGCCTGTCTTGTATGATCATACATTGTGTTCATTAATTTGTTTGATGCTGAAAGGACAGATCTCTGGAACTTTTAGTATGCTAAGATCAGTTTTCTTAAAACAAAAAGGAAGGCAAGCTGAGCTCAGATAAGCTGTATGTTTTGTAGGAAAGATCGGAGCTTTTTGGGTGCCAACAAAATTGAGGTGGGAAATGGAGGTGTAGTATATAGTTTTAGTAGTGAAATGATGGAAACATATATATACTACTTGGTCTGTAGTGGGAGGGCTAATTAGGAAGGGTGATCCCTTCCATTTTGGGACCTACTGTCCTTCCTTCCCCAAAATTGGACCACATGTTGCCCTTACTTACAGTAACAGTTGGAATTTGGAACCAGCCAGCCCTGCCAGCTCTGGTTCAGTGGTTGCCTTTGATAATTCTGGTGTCATGTTGGTTTCACCCAGCCTGTTGTTCTTCTCCCTGTAGATTGATTCCCTATCTACCTGCCTTCTGACCACCACCACCTCCTTCAATAAACTACAATATTAAAAAGCAAAAAAATAAGAAGAGGGTATCATTTTGTTTCTTCTTCTGATTCTTGACAACTACCATCCATACCATACCTTTGGAAACCTTCCTTTCTGTTAATACAGTATTGTTGTTAGGATTAAAAGATGGTTATGTCCTGCTAAATCAATACTTTTTGAGCTCTAATCCCAAGATAAGCAGCTAGATTACTCCTTTCCATTGATATCATCAAGCTTTTTCCTCCTTTCTTTTCCTTGTCTCTTGCATCCAGTGCACATGTTGCTGCCCTCCCTAGACTGATTCCATTCCATGCTTTCTTAACATCTCTTGGAATGGTTGGCTAAGTAGTCTTCCTGCCAAATACTTTAGTATCTTCCTTTTGCTCGTGTATTTGCATGTGGATTTGGGTCACATGGTCTTGGCTAAGTAGTACCAGCTAATAAGAAGTTAAGATAGATATCCAAATCAGGGTAAAAGAAAGAAATGGAGCTACCTACAAAAGTTTTGCTTTTTCTCTTTATGGTGTTCTTTAGAGGTGCATATGGATTTAGGAGATGTAAAGCTAGAAGAGAGTTGGAAAAATAGAGAGACCCACACCATCTATCTAGGTCTTGTACCAGTGGCATGTTGGTATATGGGAAGGTGATTCGGTTTATATTCCTCCTCCCTTTTCTGCTTTCCAGCCATTGTACAAGCAAGTTGGTAGTGTGTGTGTCCCCAGTTCCATGCTGTCCATCCAATTGTGGGGAAGGCGGGGCCTGGGTTTCTGATTTGAAGTTAACTTGACAGTAGTACCAAAAAGCTCCATTGCTGCAATATCAAATTTTCAGTAACTTCAGCAGCATGGTGAACTGAAAACTTTTCCCCCCCGTATGTGCTGCTCATTCTTTCACTTAAAATGCTTTGGCTAGTTCTTTAGTGAGGAGTAGGAAAGCAAAAGAAGCCATTGTTTTTTCCACTCTGGCAGCTATATTCTTTTTCTGTTTGTTCACACTTTCTTAAAGTTCTATACCAGAAAGATCTTATTCCTTATCCTGCCCAGTGTAAAGATCTTATCGCATTTTTTGCCGTATCTACTCGATCTGCTTATCATTTTCCCTGTTTAACCTTTTACCCTGCACGGTAACTTAAAATATATTCCCAGAACTTGATGTTCACAATGCAGGAAAAACCAACATATGCATTGCATATAGTAGATCAGAAATGATTCTCTGTGTGTGGTGTCCAGCTGGAAGTTTCCATCATTTCCAATCCAACCTGTTTTAAAACTTTTAACAGTAGTGATACATTTCATGCTTCTTCCATCTCTCCACATGGTCCACTGTCCTATGTGTTCCCATTTCCCACCGTCAAACCGACGGGGTATTTGCAACCAGCTCACTACACTAATCTAGGAGACACAGCTCTTGGAATTGTTATTGTGCACATCGGCATGTGATACCCAACTCAAGAGTGAAAGTTTTGGTCTTTTTTCCTGTAGCACGTTTCGTAGTAACAATCCAACGATATCAGCATGCATAGGATCGTCCTTGTTTAAACTTATTGTACTTTTGTCAACTCTCCAGTTGTACTGTGGATGGTGGTGGGTAAATCTTACAGCTTTCATTGACCCATTACTAATTAGCACTGTAAAGTTTAACTCGTGATATCTGAAAATCTGGGTTTTTTTTTTCCGTTAATAATAATTATCACCAGCAGGATCATCGTGAAAATTCAGCTTGTGAAGTCATTATCGATTGTGTTTTGTCGATTTAGGAGAATGTGGCATTATTGTTATGGTTGTTGATTTGGGAATATAACCAACCTGATGGATATGATTTATTGGCATTCGCAGGAATACAGGGGAGGTGACGGCGAAACCAGGATTCAACGGCGGCGGCGGGCCCGGGACGACGACCTACACCGGGTCCCCCGGCGGCAAGAGCGGCGGCGACGGTGATGGGAATTTCTTTGGGATGATATTCGGGAGCGGGGCGGCGCCGCCCACCAAGGCTGCTTCTGCCTCTGCCTCGTTGGTTTTGTCCCTTTCGATTATTTTAGTTTTGTACACCGACTGTTGGGGGGAATCATTCTCCCCCTTCTTCCCATTGTTATAGAACGGACCGCAGTTTGGACAGCTAATGCGAGAGAAGAAAAAGAAAAAGAAGAAAAAATATACGGAAGGAAACTAAGGAACAACAGGAAATTCATCACCTGGAATATGTACATATTCTACCTATATACAAAAACCAAGTCTCATCCCCGAAATTGCTTCAGGTGCTTCCCCTCAATCACGACGTTCATCCCTAAACAACCTCAGCTCCTCCAAGAGCTGAATCGAAAGATTCATAGAGTACAACAAGCTGCTGCCGCCGTCGCAATGGAAACTAGAAGCAGCGGACTCGTTGGAAGTTGCTGCAGGAATCGATGAGACGACGACTAGAGAAGCGAGTAGGCAGTTGTCAAGAAAATCGAGATAATAGTATTGTTAGCAGATGTTATAAAATTTACAATTGAACTGTTCTCAAATAAGTAAGAGATATGGAGTAATGAGTATAAACAATTTATCATATATTTTTAAATTTTTTGTTAAACGAGAGATTATGTATTTGAATCCTAACGAACTTCAATCTTAAGTCTATCTCTTTCTTCTCATGCCTCTTTCATAGTGTCGCAGTAAATGAATCTGTAACATTTTTTACGAAAATAATGTCTGCCTAGCTTTTATGTGGTTGTCTTTTTATAAGGATGACATCGGTTTATTTGTATGATTAGTTGCTTACTTAAACGATTCAAATATGAAACTTCCATGCTGATGACAACCGATATAGCTGTTTGACCAAGCTCTTGTTCACAAAGACCATGTTTGTAATGAGGCAAGAGATCATTTTGAACCCTGTATTGTCCAACAGGCAACATTGTCGTCGGTTCAGCACTAGACGATGATGAGCCCAAGAAGGCAAAACAACTCCTTCTGTTCCTGGCGGCCAGTCTTCCAACCCTCTCTTCTTTGCTCTCATACTTGTAATGTGTGCGCAAGTGAGCAGCAAAAGCTTGTGAAATTTGGAACGCTTCGCCGCACTTCGGACTTCCATATGGCCCGTATTTGGATGAGGAAGACTGTGAGTCCTCCCAGGGTTAGATCGGTGTATTGTCTTATCGGTCGTCTGAGTGTTCGTTTTCTCCAATATGATCATCTGCGAAATCGTCAACACGATTCGTATTAGAAGTAAAGTTAACACCGACTGAACCCTAGGCACGAAATCATTGACTTCAAGAATTACAACATTCTTCCCATGTGGTTTGGATTGGTTGGGACTTGGGATGAGTGGGGTGGGTTTCGGTGTGAGGCATATATTTGGATGAGAAAGGAGGGTTCATGGTATTGGGGGTGTTTATCGAATTTTTTGGGTAGCTAGGTTGATGGGTTTGGACATGATGAGGAGGAGGATTGTAATCATTGGTTGAAGAGGTTTGAGAGTGATAAGATGCATTGGTAAAAAGCAAATGGTGTTGACTTGAAATCGGAGGGGACGAGAAGAAATACTCGATAGTTTTCTCGATTTTTCAGTGACAACAAAGATTTCAGAAGAGAATTTTGCTTCAGGGTAAAGGGCATATTCATGTGATTGCGTGCACCGGCTCTGTATGTGGTTACATACATTTTCTTGACCTTAGTGATGAGTTTATTGACACCGAACATATATGGTATAAAAGTGCTTGAATGCTTTTTCTAGCTGAGCGGAATTGTTTTGGGAATCATCAAACAAGAAAGTCCGAGGCTGAGGAGGTGGGCCATCATTACAAGAATTGATTCCTAATGTTGGTTCAGGGCGATACCTTCAGGAATTAAATTGAATGATATCGAGTTCGATGCACCGAAACAAGTCATAACGAAGGATTGGTATGAGAGGAAATGACTAAGCTTTTGGAGAAGGATGTAAAGAAGAAAAACTGGATGAAGAAAATACTTAATTACATAGTGCTTTATATAGGAAAATCGAAAAACATTAAGGTAATAGAGCAATTACTTTTTTTTTCATTCAAAAGGGAGTAAGAACAACCAAAATACATCAAAGACTAAGGAGCATAAGGCCAACTAGTCGTAACGCTTCCAGAGGTCGAACAGGGACATCAAAAGCTGCTAGAAAGCCATATCGACAATGACACGAGTAGAAAATAAAACTCTCATGTCATCAAGGGCTTCTCTAAATCACCTGTCTAGGGAAGCTGACTCCCAAGATGTCTTATCCAATCATCCTTTGTAACTCCGTGGGAGGGTCTTCTAATTCATACATTTCGAATGGATAGACAAGACTGTGCTTCGAGATCTAGTGAAAGATAGTGCATGGAGAGAATCTAGTCATAATTATTTTCTTACAAATGGCAGTATAACTTCAAGCAACAAAGTTATGGCGACAAACTTAACAAGAAATGCCTTCAAATATAATTTATGGCATTAATTTTGGAAGTTCGAATCATATCTATCCACTATAAAATGTCAACTTAAAGTTTGATACCATAGTGAATGTGCCAATGTGGCATGTACATTAACAATCATTGTATAGTTATTATTCTCCTCGGTCGCGAGATGGATCATGATTCGTATTTTTATCGTTTTACCATCAAATGCGGAAGACGAACGACAATCATGATGAGCATGAAATTATGGCACAGATCGAGTCAAATCATAGAAGTAACGGTAATAGGGCCAATGTGGTATGCACATTTTCAAACATTGTATAGTTATTATTCTTGTATAACAAAACAGCTGGAAACAAAAGTTAAATAAATATAATTTTTTATTCATTATTATTTTGTTATTGGACCGATTCCCATGATTTTTGTGCATGGGACATGATGAAAATGGTGTCCAAACTGAGGCTTGTTAATAGGGTAGAAGTGGGCCTAACAACTTTCAGAAAGAGAATTTTGTTTCAGCGTACGAGGTATATTCACGTGATTGCGTGCTCCAAATTCTCGAATCCTCTTTCTCGTCGAGTGGAATTTTCGTGGGAATATTCGAACAAGCAAGTTCGAGGCAGAGGAGTGGGCAATCGTAATAAAAATCGATCGAACATTGGTTTGGGCGATACCTTCAAGAGTTGAATTGTATGATATCGAGTTCGATGCACCGACGAAAGCCACATCGAAGGATCAGTTTGGGAGGAAATGACTAAACCTTTGGAGAAGTATGTAAAGAAGAAAAACTGGATGGAGAAAATAATTAATTTCATAGTGCTTTATATTGGAAAATCGAACATTAAGGCAACAAAACAATTACTTTTTCTTATTGAAGGGGGGGGGGGGGTGAACAACCAGAATACATCAAAGACTAAGGAGCTTAAGACCAACTGGTTGTGTCGCTTCCATAAGTCGAACATGATAACAAAAGCTGCTAGAAAGACATACCGACAATGATACGAGAAGTACATAAAACTCTCCTGCCATCCGGGGCTTCTCATAATCACTTATCTAGGAAAGCTGACTCCCAAGATGTCTTCTTCGGTGATTCTTTGTAACTCCGTGGGAGGGTCTTCTAATTCATACGTTCCGAATTGATAGAAGAGACTGTGTTTCGAGATCTAATGATTGTGAATGAAGAAAGGTAGTGCATGGAGACAATCTAGTCATAATTATTTTCTTACAAATGGCAGTATAATTCCATACAAAAAAGTTATGGCGACAAACTGAACAAGAAAACGCCTTCAAATGTCATTTATGACATTAAATTTGGAAGTTGGAACAATATCTATCCACTATGAAATGTCTACTTAAAGTTTGATACCATAGAGAATGTGTCAATGTGGCATGTACATTAATTGCTTTGTTTCAGCGTACGTGTATATTCATGTGATTGCGTGCTCCAAATTTGTATGTTGTAACAAACATTTTCTTGGGCTTTGTGATGAATTTGTTGACACTGAACTGACCAGATTTAAAAGTGCCCGAATGATCTTTCTCGCCTAGTGGAATGTCAAGGGAATATTCAAACAAGCAAGTTCGAGGCTGAGTACTAGCCATCGTTATAAGAATCAATCGAATCTTTGTTTGGGGGTGATACCTTCGGGAGTTGAATTGAATGATATCGAGTTAAATGCACCAAAGAAAACTATATCGAAGGATTTTTTAGGGAGGAAATGGCAAAACTTTTGGAGAATGATGTAAAGAAGTAAAACGGGATGGAGAAAATACATAATTTTGTAGTGCTTTATATAGGAAAATCGTCAAACATCAATTTAACAAAAGAATTACTTTTTTTTATTGAAAGGGGGGTTTAAACAACCAGAATACATAAAAAAAAACTCAGGAGCTCAAGGCCAACTAGTCGTATCACTTCCAGAGATCGAATAGGGATAACAAAGTCTGTTAGAGAGACAAAACGACAATGACACAAGTAGGCATAAAACTCTCCTGCCATAAGGGGCTTCTCTGAATCACCTGTCTAGGGAAGGTGACTCCCAAGATGTCGTCTTCGATAATCCTGTGTAAATCCGGGGGGAAGGTCTTCTAATTCATACATTTCGAAAGGATAAACGAGATTATACTTCGGAGCTAATGATTGTGAATGAAGAAATATAGTACATGGAGAGAATCTGGTCATAATTATTTTCTTACAAATGGCAATATAATTCCATGTAAAAAAGTTATGGCGACAAACTGAACAAGAAAACGCCTTCAAATGTCATTTATGACATTAAATTTGGAAGTTGGAACCGTATCTATCCACTATGAAATGTCAAACTTAAAGTTTGATACCATAGTGAATGTGCCAATGTGGCATGTACATTAACAACCATTCTATAGTCATTATTCTCCTCGATCGCCAGGTGGATCGTGATTCTTATCGTTTTTCCATCAAATGCGGAAGGCGAACGATGATCAAAATGATCGTGAAATTAAGGCACAGATCAATCCAAATCATAGAAGTAACGGTAATTAGTGATGGCAACAAAACCCGAACCCACGGGTACCACCCGACCCAACCCGTGTTGACGGGTTTTGGGCCGGGTTTGGGTTTAAACCCGCTACACTATTCATCGGGTCGGGTTGGGTTTGGGTTTAGGTAAACCCGCCCCATGGGTACCCGCCCATACATATATAATTACCTTCCCAGTATATTTATTATTCTAAATAATATATCTTCCTTAAACAACTAATATTCTTTATGTTTGTGGAGGCATTTATGTTTGTGGAGACATGTATAATTTGTTATTTCTAATTGTTTAGAATGAAGTTGATATTATGAAGTGGAGGTGAAGAAACTTAGTTGACGAGGAAGAAACTTTCAATTAATCTTATGGTTTATAGATGTTTATCTTTAATTTTGAACAATTTGTATTGATCATTTGCGGTTTGCTTGTAATTTGTATGAATAATTGGTATGAGAAAATTGATGATAAACTTTTATTTTGAAAGAAACTTGTTATTGTAAATTTGTTACCACAAAAACCCACGGGTACCCATGAACCCGCGGATACCAAGCGGGTTGGGTTGGGTTTGAGTTTTTCAAACCCAGCGGGTTTTACCGCGGATTTTTTTGGCGGATAAACCCATGGGTTTGGGTTTGACAAAACCCGGCCCAACCCGACCCATTGCCATCCCTAACGGTAATAGGGTCAATGTGGTATACACATTTTCAACCATTGTATAGGTATTATACTTGTATAACATGACAGCTGGAAACAAAAGTTAAAAAAATTGATTTATTTTACTATTTTGTTATTGGATCTATTCCCATGAATCTTGTACAAGGGATAGACCCAAAATGGTGGCCCAAAATTCAACGAAAAAAAAAAATGGTGGCCCAAACTGAGGCCTGTTGGTAGGGCAGAAGAGAGCCTAACTGCTTTCAGAAAGAGAATTTAGTTTTAGTGTACGAGGCATGTTCATATGATTGCGTGCTCCGAATTTGTATGTTGTAACATACGTTTTCTTGGCCTTTGTGATGAATTTTTTGACACCGAACTTACCAGATATAAAAGTGCTCGAATGATCTATTTCGCCTAGTGGAATGTCAAGGGAATATTCAAACAAGCAAGTTCGAGGCTGAGTAGTGGGCCATCGTTACAAGAATCATTCGAATCTTTGTTTAGGGTGATTCTTTCTGAAGTTGAATTGAATGATATCGAGTTAAATGCATTGAAGAAAACCATATCAATGGATTGTTTTGGGAGGAAATGGCTAATCTTTTGGAGAAGGATGTAAAGAAGTAAAACAAGATGTAGAAAATACATAATTTCATAGTGCTTTATATAGGAAAGTAGTCAAACATCAAGGTAACAAAGCAATTACTTTTTTCTATTGAAAGGGGGGTTTGAACAACCAGAATACATCAAAGACTAAGTAGTTTAAGGCCAGTTAGCCGTATTGCTTCCAGAGGTCGAATAGGGACAACAAAATCTGCTAGAAAGCCATACCAGCAATGACATGAGAAGGACATAAAACTCTCCTGCCATCAGGGGCTCCTCTGAATCACCTGTTTAAAGAAGGTGACTCCCAAGAGGTTGTCTTCGATAATTCTGTGTAAATCTGGGGAAAGGTTTTGTAATTCATACATTTTGAAGTGATAGACGAGATTATACTATGGAGCTAAAGATTGTGAATGAAGAAATATAGTACATGGAGAGAATCTGGTCATAATTATTTTCTTACAAATGGCAATATAATTCGATGTAAAAAAGTTATGGCGACAAACTGAACAAGAAACGCTTTCAAATGTCATTGATGACACTAATTTGGAAGTTGGAACCGTATCTATCCACTATGAAATGTCAAACTTAAAGTTTGATACCATAGTGAATGTGCCAATGTGGCATGTACATTAACAATCATTCTATAGTCATTATATTCCTCGGTCGCGAGGTGGATCGTTAGCATTTTTATCGATTTACATCAAATGCGGAACACAATCGATGATCAAAATTATCATGAAATTATGGCACAGATCAATCCAAATCATAGAAGTAACGGTAATAGGGTCAATGTGGTATGCACATTTTCTACCATTGTATAGGTATTATGCTTGTATAACATAACAGCTAGAAACAAAATTTTAAAAAATTGATTTATTTATTATTATTTTGTTATTGGATCTATTCCCATGATTTTTGTACATGGGACAGACCAAAGATGGTGGCCCAAACTGAGGCTTGTTGATAGCGTAGAAGTGGGCCAAACTACTTTCAGAAAGAGAATTTCGTTTCACCGTACGAGGCATATTTATGTGATTGTGTGCTCCGAATTTCTATGTTGTAACATACGTTTTCTTGGCCTTGTTGATGAATTTGTTGACATTGAACTGACCAGATATAAAAGTGATCGAATGATCTTTCTCGCCTAGTGGAATGTCAAGGGAATATTCAAACAAGCACGTTCGAGGCTGAGTAGTAGCCATCGTTACAAGAATCAATTGAATCTTTGTTTGGGTTGATACCTTTGGGAGTTGCATTGAATGATATCGAGTTAAATGCACCAAAGAAAACCATATCGAAGGATTATTTTGGGAGGAAATGGCAAAGCTTTGGGAGAAAGATGTAAAGAAGTAAAACGAGATGGAGAAAATACATAATATTATAGTGCTTTATATAGAAAAATCGTCAAACAGCAATGTAACAAAGCAATTACTTTTTTTATTGAAAGAGGGGTTTGAACAACCAGAATACATAAAAAACTCAGGAGCTTAAGGCCAACTGGCCGTGTCACTTCCAGAGATCGAATAGGGATAAGAAAGTTTGTTAGAAAGACGTACAAGCAATGACACAAGAAGGACATAAAACTCTCCTGCCATCAAGGGCTTCACTGAATCACCTGTCTAGGGAAGGTGACTCCCAAGATGTCGTCTTCGATAATCATTTGTAAATCCGGGGGAAGGTCTTCTAATTCATACATTTCGAAGTGATAAACGAGATTATACTTCGGAGCTAATGATTGTGAATGAAGAAACATAGTACAGGGAGAGAATATGGTCATAATTATTTTCTTACAAATGGCAATATAATTCCATGTAAAAAAGTTATGGCGACAAACTGAACAAGAAAACGCCTTCAAATGACATTTATGACATTAACTTTGGAAGTTGGAACCGTATCTATCTACTATGAAATGTCAAACTTAAAGTTTGATACCATAGTGAATGTGCCAATGTGGCATGTACATTAACAACCATTCTATAGTCATTATTCTCCTCGATCGCGAGGTAGATCGTGATTCTTATCGTTTTTCCATCAAATGCGGAAGGCGAACGATGATCAAAATGATCGTGAAATTATGGCACTGATCAATCCAAATCATAGAAGTAACGGTAATAGGGTCAATGTGTTATACACATTTTCAACCATTGTATAGGTATAATACTTGTATAACATAACGGCTGGAAACAAAAGTTAAAAAAATTGATTTATTTTACTATTTTATTATTGGATCTATTCCCATGACTCTTGTACATGGGACAGACCCAAAATGGTGGCGCAAACTGAGGCCTGTTGGTAGGGCAGAAGTGAGCATAACTGCTTTTGGAAAGATAATTTAATTTCAGCGTACGAGGCATATTCATATGATTGCATGATCCGAATTTGTATGTTGTAACATACGTTTTCTTGGCCTTTGTGATGAATTTGTTGACACCGAACTTACCAGATATAAAAGTGCTCGAATGATCTTTTTCGCCTTGTGGAATGTCACTGGAATATTCAGACAAGCAAGTTCGAGGCTAAGTCGCGGGCCATCGTTACAAGAATCATTCGAGTCTTTGTTTAGGGTGATTCTTCCGGAAGTTAAATTGAAAGATATCGAGTTAAATGCATCGAAGAAACCCATATCAAAGGATTGTCTTGGGAGGAAATGGCTAAGCTTTTGGAGAAGGATGTAAACAAGTAAAACGGGATGGAGAAAATACATAATTTCATAGTGCTTTATATAGGAAAGTAGTCAAACATCAAGTCAAACGAGAGATTATGTATTTGAATCCTAACGAACTTCAATCTTAAGCCTACCTCTTTCTTCTCATGCCTCTTTCATAGTGTTGCAGTAAATGAGTCTGTAACATTTTTTTACGATAAAAAATGTCTACCTAGCTTTTATGTGGTTGTCTTTTTATAATGATGACATCGGTTTATTTGTATGATTAGTTGCTTACTTAAATGATTCAAATATGAAACTTCCATGCTGATGACAACCGATATAGCTGTTTGACCAAGCTCTTGTTCACAAAGACCATGTTTGTAATGAGGCAAGAGATCATTTCTCACCCTGTATTGTTTTTTTTTTACAACAAACATCATTCATTTCATTCCAAACCCAAACAAAGGGGAGCACAACGATTACAATAATGGAGCGACAAGGTCGACAATGACAATCCATTCTGGAGGAAGGAGATCAAGACGAGAGTTCCTAGCGATCCAATCAGCCAACTTATTGAATTGACGAGGAACAAACTCGAGGGAGATCCAATGAGAGGCACAGAGAATGGAGACCACTCGAGCAAGGGAAGCCCGACACTGCCAGGGCCAGAGGCTCGGATCCTGTCTCAACGCATTCGTCAAACGCTGACAATCAGAACGGACACACGTTGGCGCAGGATCCTAGGCCACCCAGATAACTGCATTAAGAATCGCAAACGCTTTCGCTTGTAACGGAGAAGAACAAAAGAATCTCTCAGCCCTCCCGTCGATAACCTGACCGTGGGAGTTTGCAATAGCAATCCCATAAGCCGCCATCTGTGCATCAGAAACAAAGGAGCCATCACAATTCACAACCATACTGAAAGGACCAGGCGGTGAAAAGGTCGACGACCGAGAACTCCCAGGCTGAGAAGGCAAACCAGCTGGACTTGAGGAGGGATGAGCTGAGGATCCAATCCTAGCTTCTTGAATATTTAGAACATCACGTTCAGGTAATATTGCCAAAGAGGGCGGAGAGAACGCCCGACCCTCGAACACCCACCCATTTCGAGCAATCCAAATATTCCAAAGGGAACACACAATTTTGGTAATTTGGGCAACGGGGACCCTGTCTTTAAGCCCAAAGAACCAATCCACAAAGCAAGAGTCATCCAAGGGGCTCACATTCACCAAACCAAGCCGAGACCAAGTCTCACACGCCTTGGAGCAGTGGAAGAAGCAGTGCATAATCGTTTCCTCTTGGCCCTCACAGAGAGAACACAGCGGGTTAGGAGCACACTTGCGAGCAAACAGCCTCACTCGAGTTGCGATTGCATTTTTACAACACTTCCAGATGAAGAAACAAAGCT